TGAGCCCTGCTACATGCACAATGGAGGACCTTCTTATAGTAACACCAGAGGCACTCCAAGTGGCCAGCTATTACCAAGCTTGCAAACTTTGTGTTTTGTTTGTTTGTTTGTTTAAAATGCAATACAACTGTTTGGTTTGCTCCTGACATGATAAATAAATAAAGAGTGAAAAGAGGTCAAGCTTGTGTGACCAACTCATTTGTATTTATTTTTATTTTACTTTACTTATGCTTTATTTAAATTTTATTCGATGCTTTGACCATAGGTCTTTCACATACAAGGCAAGGCAGATAAATAAATACATGAACACCAAATTATTAAATACAATATAAAAATACACAATAAAATCCTATAAATCGTTAAAATGCTACATATATCGATGGCAAGATGCACCTTTAAAATACTACATAATGTATAGACTCATACTTGAGTAATTAAAAACCAAATAGATACAGCATTATTAAAACTACTATTTTACAGCATTATTAAAACTACTATTTTAGTCGATCTTGGTATTCAGCAGCTGATATCTGTTGCAATGGACATGAACTTTATCACTTTAAAGAAGTCTCAGAATCAGGTGTTTTTCTAAAGATGTTGTTTTAGTAACATGAGATAACAATGAGATAAACAAACCTCAGCTCTAAATATAGCATGCAGTCTCTTTTATGTATCTAAAGGGGGGAAAGCTCAAACTCCATTCACACAAGAATTTATTCCAGGTTAACCCCATCACTTTAAAGGAGTTTGCAGTCAGAAAGTTTTGCATATTTCTTAGAGATCTGCTAATAGATCCAGTTCTTTTACCTTCTTGCCCTCACTTAAACATTTAAGTTTAGGGATGTAATCCTAATCTTATCTCCATTTAATACACTGGATCTTATTTTAAAATAAATTGCATTGGATTGTGCTGTAAGATACTTTGCTTCCAGGACCTGCGTGTCAGAAAAGCTTAGAGAAGACAATTATGCTGGGGAAAATGGAAGGAAAAAGAAAGAGAGGCTGACCAAGGGCAAGATGGAAGTCCTTGAAGTGACTGGCTTGACCTTGAAGAAGCTGGGGGTGGCAACAGCCGACAGGGAGCTTTGGCGTGGGCTGGTCGACCCCTGCAGGGGTCGCCAGGGAGTGTCAGAGGGGTCGCCAAAGACCAACAGTATTTTCTGTTGGTCATGGGGGTTCTGTGTGGGAAGTTTGGCCCAATTCTATCGTTGGTGGGGTTCAGAATGCTCTTTGATTGTAGGTGAACTATAAATCCCAGCAACTATAACTCCCAAATGTCAAGGTCTATTTTCCCCAAACTCCACCAGTGTTCACATTTGGGCATATTGAGTATTTTTGCCAAGTTTGGCCCAGATCCATCATTGTTTGAGTCCACAGTGCTCTCTGGATGTAGGTGAACTACAACTCCAAAACTCAAGGTCAATGCCCACCAAACCCTTCCAATTTTTTCTGTTGGTAATTGGGAGTCCTGTGTGCCAAATTTGGTTCAATTCCATCGTTGGTGGGGTTCAGAATGCTCTTTTATTTTAGGTGAACTGTAAATCCCAACTACTTTGAGATATGATAGCCATGTATAAATATGTGAGAGGAAGCCACAGGGAGGAGGGAGCAAGCTTGTTTTCTGCTTCCCTGGAGACTAGAACATGAAACAATGGCTTCAAACTACAAGAAAGGAGATTCCATCTGAACATGAGGAAGAACTTCCTGACTGTGAGAGCCGTTCAGAATTCTCTGCCCCGGAGTGTGGTGGAGGCTCCTTCTTTGGAAGCTTTTAAACAGAGGCTGGATGTCCATCTGTCAGGGGTGATTTGAATGCAATATTCCTGCTTCTTGGCAGGGGGTTGGACTGGATGGCCCATGAGGCCTCTTCCAACTCTTTGATTCTATGATTCTATGATTCTACAAAGATCCGCATAGTCAAAGCCATGATATTCCCTGTAGTAACCTACGGATGTGAGAGCTGGACCTTAGGGAAGGCTGAGCGAAGGAAGATAGATGCTTTTGAGCTGTGGTGTTGGAGGAAAGTTCTGAGAAGATCCAACCAGTCCATCCTCCAGGAAATAAAGCCCGACTGCTCACTGGAGGGAAGGATACTAGAGGCCAAGATGAAGTACTTTGGCCACATCATGAGGAGACAGCAAAGCCTAGAGAAGACAATTATGCTGGGGAAAGTGGAAGGCAAAAGGAAGAGGGGCCGACCAAGGGCAAGATGGATGGATGGCATCCTTGAAGTGACTGGACTGACCTTGAAGGAGCTGGGGGTGGTGACGGCCAACAGGGAGCTCTGGCGTGGGCTGGTCCATGAGGTCACGAAGAGTCGGAGACGACTGAACGAATGAACACAAATGATTCTACTACAACTTCCAAATAATCTAATCCATTTTTTTAGTGATGGTCACTCCTTGGGGATGTGTCCAAATTTGGTGGCAATTTGTTCAGTGGTTTTTGAGTTCTGTTAATCCCACAAACGAACATTGTATTTTTATTTCTATAGATTCAAAGTTCAACTCATACAGAATGCAGGTAATGTTTGTGAATGTAAAACACTGTTGGGAACCAAAAAGTAAATAGCTCCAACTTTCCTAGAATGCCGAACTCTGGTCAATCCTTGGAGTCCAGAGGTCGATGTCCCACATTCATTGTATGCTGCAAATGCTCTTTCTCTCCTAGAAACTAATTCTATGTTTGTTTATTTTTAGCAAACTTGCCCTTGGCTCATCATTTTTGCAAAGGGCACCCAAGGTGCTTTATCAGCATTCATAAAACTCTGCTTACACAGTCCTGTTCAAGCAGGACTTTGCCTGGATTATGGCTCTTCCGCAAATGTCACAGATAAAATGCTGATTGTGGGATTGATAGCAACAGGGAAGGAACTGCCCGAAAGCAAGGAAGCACCAGGCACGAGGAAATCATGCAAAGTGTCAGTTTTTTCCCCCATCTCTCTGCCTTTTCTCTCTCTTTCAGGTAGCATATTAAACCCGGCAGTGATTGCATGTTCTCCTTCCGATCCAAAGTGACTATTGGGAATGGAGCTCACAAATGTTCAAGATGTTGTTACCCAGCTGAACATCCATGGCCCAACACTGGCTTTCAGGAACATTAGTTACTCCGTCATCACGCCTTGGACGTTTCCTTTCAAAGGAAGAGAAGAAAAAGAAGTTCTCAGGGATGTCAGGTAAATAAACTATATTTTCAGGTTACAGTGTCACTTTACTTGTAACGAAGGGCACTTCCACACACTCATATAATCCACTTCAAAGCAGATAATGTGGATTATTTGCTTTGATGATCTGGAATATATGGTAATGTAGAAGGGGCCTTAGCAACCTTGGTTAGTTCCTCTCTCTCAGGAACTAACAAGTAGGAGAGGATTAATTCACAGCATTTACGGCCCTTCCACACAGCCCTATATCCCAGAATATCAAGGCAGAAAATCCCACATTATCTGAATGTGGATTCAGGTAACCCAGTTCAAAGCAGATATTGTGGAATTTTCTGCCTTGATGTTCTGGGATATAGGGCTGTGTGGAAGGGCCGTAAATAGAATCAGAATCAAAGAGTTGGAAGAGACCTCATGGCCCATCCAGTCCAACCCCCCGCCAAGAAGCAGGAATATTGCATTCAAATCACCCCTGACAGATGGCCATCCAGCCTCTGTTTAAAAGCTTCCAAAGAAGAGCCTCCACCACACTCCGGGGCAGAGAGTTCCACTGCTGAACGGCTCTCATAGTCAGTTCTTCCTCATGTTCAGATGGAATCTCCTCTCTTGTAGTTTGAAGCCATTGTTCTCCAGGGAAGCAACCATGGAGCCCCTGGTGGCACAGTGGGTTAAAGCACTGAGCTGCTGAGCTTGTTGATCGAAAGGTCGCAGGTTCGATTCCGGGGAGCGGCGTGAGCTTCCGCTGTCAGCCCTAGCTTCTGCCAACCTAGCAGTTCGAAAACATGCAAATGTGAGTAGATCAATAGGTACCGCCGGCGGGAAGGTAACGGCGCTCCATGCAGTCATGCCGGCCACATGACCTTGGAGGTGTCTACGGACAACGCTGGCTCTTCGGCTTAGAAATGGAGATGAGCACCACACCCCAGAGTCAGACATGACTGGACTTAATGTCAGGGGACTACCTTTACCTTTACTTAATCCTCTCCTACTTGGTTAGTTCCTGAGAGAGAGGAACTAACCAAGGTTGCTAAGGCCCCTTCTACACTACCATATATTCCAGATCATCAAAGCAAATAATCCACATTATCTGCTTTGAAGTGGATTATATGAGTCTACACTGCCATATAATCTACTTCAAAGTAAATAATCTGGATTGTATATGGCAGTGTCTAAGGGGCCTTAGTGCTTTTCATGGTTCAATGAGAACTTGAATCTGAATCCCAGTTTCCATCCCACACTCTAAGATAGCGTTTCTCAACCTAGGGATCGGGATCCCTGTGGAGGTCACAAGGGGGTGTCAGAGGAGTCGCTAAAGACCATCAGAAAATACAGTATTTTCTGTATTGTCGAAGGCTTTCATGGCTGGAATCACTGGGTTGTTGTAGGTTTTTTTGGGCTATATGGCCATGTTCTAGAGGCATTTTCTCCTGACGTTTCACCTGCATCTATGGCAAGCATCCTCAGAGGTAGTGAGGTCTGTTGGAACTAGGAAAAAGGGTTTATATACCTATGGAATGACCAGGGTGGGACAAAGGACTCTTGTCTGCTGCTACAACAACACAGTATTTTCTGTTAGTCATGGGAGTTCTGTGTGGGAGGTTTGGCCTAATTCTATCTTTGGTGGGGTTCAGAATGCTCTTTGATTGTAGGTGAACTATAAATCCCAACAACGACAACTCCCAAATGTCAAGGTCTATTTTTCCCAAACTCCACCAGTGTTCACATTTGGGCATATTGAGTATTCGTGCAAAGTTTGTCCAGATCTATCATCGTTTGAGTCCACACTGCTCACTGGATGTAGGTGAACTACAACTCCAAAACTCAAGGTCACGCCCGCCAAACCCTTCCAGTATTTTCTGTTGGTCATGGGAGTTCTGTGTGCCAAGTTTGGTTCGATTCTATCGTGGGTGGAGTTCAGAGCCCTCTTTGACTGCAGGTGAACTATAAATCCCAGAAACTATAACTCCCAAAATCAATCCCCCTCCCACCCCACCAGTATTCAAATTTGGGCGTGTCGGGTATTTGTACCAATTTGTACCAGTGAAAGAAAATACATCCTGCAGATCAGATGTTTACATTTCGATTCATAACAGTAGCAAAATTACAGTTATGAAGCAGCAATAAAAATAATTTTATGTATTAAGGGGTTGCGGTGTTAGGAAGGTTGAGAAACACTGCTCTAGAAAACTATATTTTTAGTGTTAAACTAACAGTTTCTTTCTTTCTCCACAGTGGTATTATGAAACCTGGGATGAATGCAGTTTTGGGGCCAACTGGAAGTGGGAAAACCTCGTAGGTATTTTTCTTGCTTTGCATCAGTGCTTACGTACGCGTCTCCAGAAGGGATATGGAATCCTTTCATTCTACGCAATTATAGCATTATGATTCCCCTTTAATTGCATAGTTATATCGTATGGCATCTTGGACTTCGTAGTTTGAATCAGGCGCTAGAGCTCTCTGGCTGAAAAATCTAAGTACCGCTCCCTAAACTGCAGCTCCCAGAGTTCCAACCTTGACAGTTAAAGTGGAATCATAACATTGTGAATTTATGATATATGAAAGGACTCCTTGTTTCTACACAGGCAGTGGCAGGATTTTTGTGTCTCGGGGACTGCAACTATTTCTTACATTCATGACCTAGAAGCCACTACCACACAATGCTCCATTTGCTAGAGTTTTCGTTCCTCATCATTCCCTGATGATAACCACCCCAATCATGTAAAACTTCTCAAGGAGCAGCCCTACATGCGTGTGGGATGGGGTGGATCAGTCAGTTTTTCAGCCACATAACTATTCATGTCCATTATCATAGATCATATGCAGCTGCCTCAGGTAGATCATTTCGCTTGTAATGAAAATCACTCTCAACAAAAGATTCCCCCCAGGCACTTCCAAGCCATTGAATGCTAATCAAGGTGATCAGCTGAAACATTCACAGCTAGCCCCAGCAGAAAAAAGTCCTTTGTCTCACCCTGGTCATTCCACAAATATATATAAACCCATTTTTCCTACTTCCAACAGACCTCACTACCTCTGAGGATGCTTGCCATAGATGCAGGCAAAACGTCAGGAGAAAAATTGCCTCCAGAACATGGCCATATAGCCCGGAAAAACCTACAACAACCCAGTCAGAATATTGTTAGCTATTTGCTGTTTTATTGTTGTATTTTTCTATTGGGGAGAAGGTGAGATTTCTGCCCAGAGCAGTGCTACTCAAAATGGGCTGGTAGGTAGAATTGTTAGGTAAAGGTTTTCCCCTGACATTAAGCCCAGTCGTGTCCAACTCTGGGGTGTGGTGCTCATTTCCATTTCTAAGCCGAAGAGCCGGCGTTGTCCGTAGACACCTCCAAGGTCATGTGGCCGGCATGACTTCATGGAGCGACGTTACCTTCCCGCCGGAGTGGTAGCTATTGATCTACTCACATTTGCATGTTTTCGAACTGCTAGGTTGGCAGAAGCTGGGGCTGACAGCGGAAGCTCATGCCGCTCCCCGGATTCGAACCTGCAACCTTTCAGTCAACAAGTTCAGCAGCTCAGCACTTTAATAATAAATAATAATATAATAATAAAACTTTATTTATACCCCGCCACCATCTCCCCAAGGGACTCGGAGCGGCTTACATGAGGCCAAGCCCGACAACACATCAATAAAACAAAAAGCAATAAGCAAAAACAATACAATTAATATAACTCACATATAAACAATAAATCTATTTCTAATGGTCTTAGGAACCCCTTTGGTATAGAATCATAGAGTTGGAAGAGACCTCATGGGCCATCCAGTCCAACCTGCCAAGAAGCAGGAAAATTGCATTCAAAGCACCCCTGAATGACTTAGATGAAGGGCTAGAAGGCATGATCATCAAGTGTGCAGACGACACCAAATTGGGAGGGATAGCCAATAGTCCAGAGGACAGGAGCAGAATTCAAAATGATCTTGACAGATTAGAGAGATGGGCCAAAACTAACAAAATGAAGTTCAACAGTGACAAATGCAAGATACTCCACTTTGGCAGAAAAAATGAAATGCAAAGATACAGAATGGGGGACGCCTGGCTCGAGAGCAGTACGTGTGAAAAAGATCTTGGAGTCCTCGTGGACAACAAGTTAAACATGAGCCAACAATGTGATGTGGCGGCAAAAAAGCCAATGGGATTTTGGCCTGCATCAATAGGAGCATAGTGTCTAGATCTAGGGAAGTAATGCTACCCCTCTATTCTGCTTTGGTTAGACCACACCTGGAATATTGTGTCCAATTCTGGGCACCACAATTCAAGAGAGATATTGACAAGCTGGAATGGGTCCAGAGGAGGGTGACTAAAATGATCAAGGGTCTGGAGAACAAGCCCTATGAGGAGCGGCTTAAGGAGCTGGGCATGTTTAGCCTGAAGAAGAGAAGGCTGAGAGGAGATATGATAGCCATGTATAAATATGTGAGAGGAAGCCACAGGGAGGAGGGAGCAAGCTTGTTTTCTGCTTCCCTTGGAGACTAGGACGCGAAACAATGGCTTCAAACTACAAGAGAGGAGATTCCATCTGAACATTAGGAAGAACTTCCTGACTGAGAGCCGTTCAGCAGTGGAACTCTCTGCCCCGGAGTGTGGTGGAGGCTCCTTCTTTGGAGGCTTTTAAGCAGAGGCTGGATGGCCATCTGTCAGGGGTGATTTGAATGCAATATTCCTGCTTCTTGGCAGGGGGTTGGACTGGATGGCCATGAGGTCTCTTCCAACTCTTTGATTCTATGATTCTAGGAGCCTCCACCACACTCCGGGGCAGAGAGTTCCACTGCTGAACGGCTCTCACAGTCAGGAAGTTCTTCCTCATGTTCAGATGGAATCTCCTTTCTTATAGTTTGAAGCCATTGTTCTGCGTCCTAGTCTCCAAGGAAGCAGAAAACAAGCTTGCTCCCTCCTCCCTGTGGCTTCCTCTCACAGATTTATACATGGCTATCATATCTCCTCTCAGCCTTCTCTTCTTCAGGCTAAACATGCCCAGTTCCTTAAGCCGCTCCTCATAGGGCTTGTTCTCCAGACCCTTGATCATTTTAGTCACCCTCCTCTGGACACATTTCCAGCTTGTCAATATTCCAGAGGACACATTTCAATATCTCTCTTGAATTGTGGTGCCCAGAATTGGACACAATATTCCAGATGTGTCCAAGGCACTCTCAGAACAGTCCAAGGCACTCAGCACTTTCCTCCAGCACCGGAGCGGTTTACAGCAGTAGATTAAAACAATACAATTAACTTTAAAATACAATAAAACAAGAACAGGCATAGTCCCGAGTTATTCACCCATCGAAAGCTTGTCGGAAGAGAAAGGTTTTACAGGCTTTCCAAAAAGCAAGTAGGTCTCGGATAGTTCGAGTTTCAACTGGCAAGGCATTCCATAAATAAGAGGCCACAATCGAGAAGGCTCTCTGCCTAGTAGAGGACAGATGATAATACACAAGGATTTAAAAAGTTTAAAATAGTTTCAAATTTTAAAAATAAACGCTGGGCATGAACAGAGGTAGGATATATCTGGTAGGAGATTTTTAAAAGAAATGAAGGGAGAGCAACCCTGCATCACCGGGGGCTCCTTGGTAAAATTAGTAGTGATTCAGAAAACATTAGCTGCCGATCTGCCCTGAGTTTCCAGGCAAGAAAATAGCTTGTGGGCATAAATATGGCAATGGACCCTGCCACATCAGGTGAAAAAAGCCCTACCAATCTCCTGCATCAGATAACTAAAGTAATACAGTACTGACACAGAGTACTTTTTGTGTGTAATGGACACGATTTCCTGCTTAGCTTTAAATGCAAAATCTTAGTCATGGGCTAACCCTGGTTCTATATCCTGATCTTAGATTGCTTCTACATACCGTGCTGCTGAAGCATTTTCTACAATTAGTTAACAACCAAATTAAAATAATGTTTGAGTGCTCCTGGATGATGTCATGACACATGAAGAGCCATGTGTTCCCCTCGGCCAAAATTATCTATTCTGTCTGCATACATAGAATCATAGAGTTGGAAGACACCTCATGGGCCATCCAGTCCCACCCCCTGCCAAAAAGCAGGAATATTGCATTCAAAGCACCCCTGACAGATGGCCATCCAGCCTCTGTTTAAAATCTTCCAAAGAAGGAGCCTCCACCACACTCCGGGGCAGAGAGTTCCACTGCTGAACAGCTCTCACAGTCAGGAAGTTCTTCCTAATGTTCAGATGGAATCTCCTTTTTGTAGTTTGAAGCCATTGTTCTGTGTGCTAGTCTCCAGGCAGAAAACAAACTTGCTCCCTCCTCCTCCCTATGACTTCCTCTCACATATTTATACATGGCTATCATATCTCCTCTCAGCCTTCTCTTCTTCAGGCTAAACATGCCCAGCTCTTTAAGCCGCTCCTCATAGGGCTTGTTCTCCAGACCCTTGATCATTTTAGTTGCCCTCCTCTGGACACATTCCAGCTTGTCAATATCGCTCTTCAATTGTGGTGCCCAGAATTGGACACAATATACAACTAAACTGCCTTCTGTAAAGGGTCTTTCTCATGACAAGTGAAAGCTTCTGAAACACATTCTGAATTTATTCTATGGCAGTGTCTCTAAAAATGAAAAAAAGCTGGGGGGAAATGATCACAGAAACTCTGCTGACCTTGGGGTGATTCGGAGAAGGTATTTCTGAGGATAATTCAGAATAATGGCAACTGGTTGCTTCTGTGCCAGTAGGGGGGGAAATCCTAGTCCAAACATTAAGGACACTTTTGAAATTATTTAGGGAATATGATTCTATGCCTTGGGTAGCATCGTTAAAATTCAGTTTAGAAACCAGAGCAGACTCTTTACTTGCACTGAAGTAACTTCCCTGGAGTTACAAGCTGGGTAGATATGGGGAATGCCGTGGATGTAGCATACCTCGATTTCAGTAAGGCCTTCGACAAAGTCCCCCATGACCTTCTGGCAAACAAACTAGTCCAATGTGGGCTAGGCAAAACTACAGTTAGGTGGATCTGTAATTGGTTAAGCGGACGAACCCAGAGGGTGATTCTCCCCAATGCTTCCTCTTCATCTTGGAAAGAAGTGATGAGAGGAGTGCCGCAGGGTTCTGTCCTGGGCCCGGTGCTGTTCAACATCTTTATTAATGACTTAGATGAAGGGCTAGAAGGCAGGATCATCAAGTTTCCAGATGGCACCAAATTGGGAGGGATAGCCAATACTTCAAGACAGGAGCAGAATTCAAAACGATCTTGACAGATTAGAGAGATGGGCCAAAACTAACAAAATGAAGTTTAACAGTGACAAATACAAGATACTCCACTTTGGCAGAAAAAACGAAATGCAAAGATACAGAATGGGGACGCCTGGCTCGAGAGCAGTACGTGTGAAAAAGATCTTGGAGTCCTCGTGGACAACAAGTTAAACATGAGCCAACAATGTGATGTGGCGGCAAAAAAAGCCAATAGGATTTTGGCCTGCATCAATAGGAGCATAGTGTCTAGATCTAGGGAAGTAATGCTACCCCTCTATTCCGCTTTGGTTAGACCACACCTGGAATATTGTGTCCAATTCTATGATTCTATGAACTAGCCATCTCTCACTCAGAGACCATTCACCTGATTGAAGAATGGTAATCCTTCATTCAAGATGCTGTGATGATAAATTCATTCTCAGAAGCTGGCTCAGACTTCTGAAAAATCTAGACTTATTGTGGGACTGCATATCAATGTGTAGTTTTAGGAATGGACATTTACCTGTGGTGGTGTTGTTGTATTCTCTTTAGGCTCCTTGATATCCTAGCAGGATGGAAAGACCCCAAAGGGCTTAAAAGTGGACAAATCTTTATGGATGGGAAGTTAGTAGATGCTAACTTTCATAAGTGCTCTGCCTATGTAGTACAGGTAAATTCATTTCAGACCACTTTTTGGGTATTCATTTGGTAATCCATGAGTCTGAGGCCCCTTCCACACAACTGCATAAAATCCAGATGGAATTGGATTATATGGCAGTGTGGACTCTGATAACCCAGTTCAAAGCAGGTATTGTGGATTATCTGCCTGATATTCTAGATTATACGGCTGTATGGAAGGGCCTTAAGTGGATAGTGAATCTTTGCTTCAACTTCCCGATTCCAAAAATCCCCCACAACTGCAATTTTTTCCAAAAGTCTTTCAAGCTCTTCCAGAGTCATAAATTATTTGGAACCCTCTTTGGAAGAAGGGAAGTTTGGTTTGTGGGAAGAGATACTTTTGGACAGGAATGAAGTTGATTCCTTACCTTGCACCCAAATTCCATCCTCTTGAAGCTGTATTCTGTCTGTCTTCATTTGATTTCATATATACTCCTCCTTTCTCCCCAAATGGAATTTAAAGCGGCTTTCAATATATTTACGAGGGTTGAATGAAAAGTTATGCCTCCACCTTCGTAACTCATCAACTGATGGCAGTACTGGTATGCGGCAGGTACTGGCTTGTTCAGTAGACTCTCCTCTACAGTTCCATTTTGGTTGGAAGCCTTAGCATTGAATGGTTATGTTGTTAAAGTGCGAAGTATGGAACCATGCGCAGGTGGTTGGTCAATGCGACTTAAGCAACGTGCACAGTCATTGAATTCTTGACAGCAGAAGGTGTCACTCCAAAGGAGATTCATCAGAGAATGCAAGCTGTTTATGGTGATTGTGTTGATATGAGTACTGTGCATCGTTGGGCAAGTAAGTTTAAAGATGTTGAGGTGGGAACATCTGACTTGTGCGACAAGCAAAGAGTTGGACATCCTGTGACAGCAACAACTGAGTTTCACAAGCAAAAGGTTGACAGATTGATTCAGGATGATCGTCGTATCACTCAGAGAGAAATTTCAAGCATAATCGGCATTTCACTAGAACGTGTGGGTCACATTATTGCTTTGCTTGGCTATCGGAAGATCTGTGCACGATGGGTACCCAGGATGCTGACGCCTGGAATGAAAGCGCACAAATTTGAAATTTCAGAGACTGGATCTCACCACCATACGACATCCTCCATACAGTCCAGATTTAGACTTCCATCTGTTCCCGATAATGAAAGATCTGTGGGGACATCATTATGCTTCTGATGAAGACGTTGAGAGAACTGTGAGATGCTGGCTGTGGAAACAGAGTGTCAACTTCTTCCGTGACAGCTTCAGAAAACTTGTTCATCATTGGCAGAAATGTATCCAGTTGTCTGGTGATTATGTGGAAAAGTGAATAGTGGAAGTTAAAGAGCACATTCTAAGGATTATTTCTGCATTTGATTTATTACAATATTCCCATCCAAACCCAAGTAATGAAGTTGGAGGCATTATTTTTCATTCAACCCTCGTATTTTACAAATATATCCCTCCAGAAATGTTTATGGTCCTCTCTGTGTCATCCACCGAGATCCTATAGTATGCTTCTAGCTTACCATAGTTATCCATGATTTGAGGGATGCACAGGGGGTTTCTGAAACATATTCCCCATAATACTGGTGTTGGGCTGTTTGACAAGACTCCATACCAGAACTGGGGGAAATGTAGCCCTTCAGGAATGACTGGATTATAACTTCCATCAGCTATAGTCAGCATAGCCAGTGGTGAAGCGTATGGGTCCTACAACTGACATTAGACCTTCCTCTTGTATAAATCTTTTGAAAATATCTGTATTTTTAAGGACATAGAACATATCATTATACTCATGGTCATATGTGTATTCACCATCCTTCTGCTATCTGTCGTAACACTATGTAACACGATTTTTGTTCCTGGGTTGTAAATGTCATTTCCTAATTGATTATATAAATATATATATAAAAAATGGGAAAAGTTTATTCAACTTCAAAAAGTTTATTCAACTTCTCAGCGGTGGTCCCTCGGCTATGGAAGGCCCTTTTTGGGGACATTAGACCGGCCCCCTCCCTCTTAACATTTCGGAAATGTGTCAAGACGTGGTTATTTGAGCAACCGTTTGAAAATGCAAGGTAAAAGACATAGGTATTGGAACGCCTGGATGACGAGATGGGACAATGTTTTTTATTAAGAGAAGTATATGATCTATGTTTTAAATATTTTTGTTATGGTTTTATATTATGTGTTAATGTTTTTAAACGTTTTATGGTGTTTTTGGGCATCGAATCATTGCCATTGTAAACCGCCCTGAGTCGCCTGAGGGCTGAGAAGGGCGGTATACAAATACAGTAAATAAATAAATAAATAAATTTGTCAGACATCCATACAGTTCCATTTTCCCACCAAAATGGAACTGTAGAGGAGAGTCTACTGAACAAGCCAGTACCTGCCACATACCAGTACTGCCATCCGTTGATGAGTTATGACGGTGGAGGCATTACTTTTCATTCAACCCTCATAAATATATTTAAAGCCACTTTAAATTCCATTTCCTATAGTTTTTCAGTGAATATCTCATAGTTTCAACCAATTCCACAAAGCTTGTGGCAGCCACCAAAACAAATTTTCCAGAGTATAACAATTACTTTCAAAGTAAGGACCACACAATTAAACAGGAAATAACACTTTTAAACCAGGAACAGATAATTTTCCAAATTTTGTTACATAGTGTAATGAATAAATTAACATCCATGTGCATTTAATCAGCATATGATCAAATAACATGGAACATTATATCAGCTGTCATTATGAATACATTTATATCATCCTAAAAGAAAAGAGCCTTATGTTTATGTCTGTTGGTATTTTCTTTCTGTTCTTGGCTCTGTAGCAAGAACCATAAGCTTGGCCATAAGCATCTGGAAGATGTCAAAAGAGCTGTCGGGATGGGCTGCCTTAGAGCATGATACACTGCAATGTGATATCTCTGTAATACAAATGAAGTATTGTATATATGAAGTACAATGCTTGTACAGTGGGGGAGGGGGTATTTAGTCGGATACCAATTGTACATGTTCTCCCACTTAAAAAGATGGGAGAGGCCTGTAATTGACATCATAGGTAGACCTCAACTATGAGAGACAACATGAGAAAATACATCCAGAAAATCACATTGTCTGATTTTTAACTAATTTATTTGCAAATTATGGTGGTTTTGATTCATAACAAAACTTCATCTCAATAGTTTGTTATATATTCTTTATTGGCAATAACAGAGGTCAAACGTTTTCTGTAAGTCTTCACAAGGTTGGCACACACTGTTGCTGGTATGTTGGCCCATTCCTCCATGCAGATCTCCTCAAGAGCAGTGGTGTTTTGGGGCTGTCACTGGGCAACATGGACTTTCAACTCCCTCCAAAGGTTTTCTATAGGGTTGAGGTCTGGAGACTGGCTGGGCCACTCCAGGACATTGAAATGCTTCTTACAAAGCCACTCCTTTGTTGCTCTGCTGGTGTGCTTGGGATTGTTGTCATGCTGAAAGACCCAGCGACGTTTCATCTTCAGTGCCGTTGCTGATGGAAGGAGGTTTGCACCCAAAATCTCACGATACATGACCCCATTCATTCTTTCATGTATACGGATCAGTTGCCGTGGTCCCTTTGCAGAGAAGCAGCCCCAAAGTATGATGTTGCCACCCCCATGCTTCACAGTAGGTATGGTGTTCTTTGGATGCAACTCAGCATGCTTTCTCCTCCAAACACAACGAGTTGTGTTTCTGCCAAACACTTCTACTTAGGTTTCATCTGACTATATGGCATTGTCCCAATACTCTTCCGGATCATCCAAATGCTCTCTAGCAAACTTCAGTCGGCCCTGGACATGTACTGGCTTAAGCAGGGGAACACGTCTGGCATTGCAGGATCTGAATCCCTGGTGGTATAGTGTGTTACTGATGGTAGCCTTTGTGATGTTGGTCCCAGCTCTCTGCAGGTCATTCACTAGGTTTCCCCATGTGGTTCTGGGATTTTTGCTCACCGTTCTTGTGATCATTTTGACCTCACGGGGTGAGATCTTGCATGGAGCCCCAGATCGAGGGAGATTATCAGTAGTCTTGTATCTCTTCCATTTTCTAATTATTGCTCCCACAGTTGATTTCTTCACACCAAGCTGCTTGCTTATTGCAGATTCAGCCTTCCTAGTCTGGTGCAGGGTGACTATTTTGTTTCTCGTGTTCTTTGACAGCTCTTTGGCCTCCACCATAGTGGAGTTTGGAGTGTGACTGCTTGAGGTTGTGGACAGGTGTCTTTTATACTGATAACAAGTTCAAATAGGTGCCATTACTACAGGTCATGAGTGGAGGTCAGAAGAGCTTCTTCAATAAGAAGTTACAGGTCTGTGACACCCAGAAATCTTGCTTGTTTGTAGGTGACCAAATACTGTACTTATTTTCCACCATAATTTGCAAATAAATTCAATTTTGTTTCTGGTGTCCTTTGACAGCTTCACCATAGTGGAGCTTGGAGTGTGACTCCTTGAGGTTGTGGACAAGTGTCTTTTATACTGATAGGTGTCATTACTACAGGTAATGAGTGGAGGACAGAGGAGCCAGTCTGTGAGACCCAGAAATTTTGCTTGTTTGTAGGTGACTGAATATTTATTTTCCACTATAATTTGCAAATAAATTCATTAAAAATCAGGTAATGTGATTTTCTGGATGTGTTTTCTCATGTTGTCTCTCATAGTTGAGGTCTACCTATGATGCCAATTACAGGCCTCTCCCATCTTTTTAAGTGGGAAAACTTGTACAATTGGTGTCTGACTAAATACTCCCCCCCCCCCCCCCCCCCCCCCCCCCCCCCCGTATCTGCAAGGACAGTACCCACAGCTTCACTTGCTGATGTCTGCAAAAATATTTTTCACTAGACATTTTCTATGCCTTCCATGATATGGTTCCACCAGATGCTGGGTACAGAGTTGTGATGGAGTACCTAGCAATGCCTAGGTCCCTCTGGTGCAATTCTATGGTCCACTTCCTCAGGGAGCAATTCATTTCAATGGAGTTTGCTATTATTCACAGTTTTGCATTTCCTCGGTAAGTCGAGGAGCATTTGGTATCCTCCAAAGATATGGAGGCTGTACTGTAACCCTATCCAAAGTTCAGCAAGCTAGCATTATACTTTTTTTTACACTTTCTTAGGATGGTGTCAACTGATATTATTGTCCAGTGTGTTTCTCCCGGGTACCTTTTTGCTTCTTAATCATTTAAATTTTCATGATCTGAAGGAGGATATTCTGACAGGAACACTCAGCGTCCGTGAGAATCTTCAGTTCTCTGCCAATCTGCGGCTCCCAATAAACAGGAGTAGCAATGAAGAAAAGAAGTTCAAGGTGGATGCCGTGATACAAGAGCTGGGCCTGCAAGATTGTGCTGACACCAAAGTAAGTAATGATGTGCCTTGTTTTCACAAATAGTAGGCAGGGCAGAAATGGACAAATCTGTTGATTTTTCTTTCTTTTATATTCAGAGTTTTAAAGCCTTTCCATCAGATATACAAATAAATTTGTGAGTTGTATAAAGTTCCTGTCAAAAAAAAAGGGAGAGAAATACACTCAGTTCTTGTGGGTTTTTTCGGGCTATATGGCCATGTTCTAGAGGCATTTCTGAACATGGCCATATAGCCCGAAAAAACCCATAAGAACTGAGTGATTCCAGCCATGAAAGCCTTCGTCAATACGGAGAGAAATACAGTCAGCCCTCTTTATCCATCGATTCTGTATTCACAGATTCAGACATCAATGATTTGAAAATGTTTTCCCCTCCTCAAAAGCAAGAAAACTGTAGAAAGCAAATCTTGCTATTTGCCATCTCTCTCTCTCTCTCTCTGTGTGTGTGTGTCTGTCTGTCTGTCTGTCTGTCTGTCTGTCTGTCTGTCTGTCTATCTATCTATCTATCTATCTATCTATCTATCTATCTATAAATGCTCTGTGCATAATGAGTACCTTAAAAACAAAAGAACCAATGAACGAAAATCACACCAAATTTGGCAACAAAACGTCTCACAACACAAGGAGTGACCATCACTCAAAAAAATTATGATTTTGTCATTTGGGAGTTGTAGTTGCTGGGATTTATAGTTCACCTACAATCAAAGAGCATTCTGAACTCCATCAACGATGGAATTGAACCAAACTTGGCACACAGGACTCCCATGACCAACAGAAAATACTGGAAGGGTTTGGTGGGCATTGACCTTGGGTTTGGGAGTTGTAGTTCATCTACATCCAGAGAGCATTGTGGACTCAAACAATGATGGATCTGGACCAAACTTAGCACAAGCACGCAATACACCCAAATATGAACACTGGTGGAGTTTGGGGGAAATAGACCTTGACATTTGGGAGTTGTAGTCACTGGGATTCACAGTTCACCTACAATCAAAGAGCATTCTGAACCCACGAATGACAGAATCGGGGCAAACTTCCCACACAGAACCCCCATGACCAACAGAAAATACTTAAGGTCATCCAATCCAACTCCCTTCATCAGGGCAAGAAAATGTAATCAAAGTCCTCCTGACAAAGAGCCATCCAGCCATAGATAGAATAGATAGATAGATAGATAGATAGATAGATAGATAGATAGATAGATAGATAGAGATATGATTCACACACAGAGAGATATAGTATCATAGATTGAAAGGGACCCTTAAAGAAGGACAATGATATTTTGCATGTTACAGGGTGAGCAAATCAGACACTCTCCACATCAACACTGACAAAGAAATAGCAAGAAATACTGTTTACCCACAAGCATAAATAAATTACATATACTGTATTAGAAACCAACACTTTCTCATTACTTTATTTTCCAGATCAACAGACTGGGCCACAGCAACGCATGACATCATAACTTAAAAACTGATGGACTAATTGCCACCAAATGTGGTCACAAGACACCTAACTAACCCAAGGAGTGACCATCACTCAAAAAAATTGATTTTGTCATTTGGGAGTTGTAGTTCATCTACAATCAAAGAGCATTCTGAACCCCACCAATGATAGAATTGGGCCAAACTTCCCACACAGGAACCCCCATGACCAACAGAAAATACTGTGTTTTCTGGTGGTCTTTGACACCCCCTCACAACCCCCCCCCCCAGGGGCCCTGACCCCCCAGGTTGAGAAATGCTGCCTTAAGGCTGTTCAGTCCAACTCCCTTCACCAGGGCAAGAAAACATAATCAAAGCCCTCCTGACAAAGAGCCGTACAGCCATAGATATAGATGGATATATATGATTCACACACATACACACATATATATGTGTATATGACAGATATAGTATCATAGATTTGAAAGGGACCCCTAAAGAAGGACAATTTTATGTTGCATGTTCCAGAGTAGGCAAACTAGACCATCTCGTTCCTTGAGAAGTCTGACTTGGCCATGGTGGTCCATGCTCTTGTTACATCCAGGACAGACTACTGCAATGCACTCTACGTGGGTCTGCCTTTGAAGACTGCCCGGAAGCTCCAACTAGTCCAACGGTCAGCAGCCAGGTTGCTCACTGGAGCGACGTACAAGGAACATAAAACTCCTTTGTTACACCAACTCCAATGGCTATCGATCAGCTTCCGAGCACAATTCAAAGTGCTGGTTTTAACCTTTAAAGCCCAAAACGGTTCTGGCCCAGACTACCTGTCCAAACATATCTCCTGCTATGAACCATCAGGAAGTTTAAGATCTTCAGGAGAGGCCCTGCCCTCAATCCCACCACTATCACAAACGCGGTTGATGGGGACGAGAGACAGGGCCTTCTCAGCAGTGGCTCCCCGCCTATGGAACGCCCTCCCTAGAGATATCAGATTGGCCACCTCTCTCTTGTCTTTTAGACAAGAGGGAGGTCCTTCTTTAGGGGTCCCTTTCAAATCTATGACACTATATCTGTCATGGGACCAAGCGTTTGATCAGTGAGCAGCAAGTGGAAGATCACACAACATCTGGGAATGAATTGGCACGGACTGGTTTTTGGATTTCGATTTTAATGGATGTGTCTTAATTAATTGTTTTAATTGTTGTTTTTAATATTTTGATTGTACTGTGGTTGTTTTTATGATTCTAGCATCGTATGATGCGTTTGTAAGGCTGCCCTGAGTCCCCCTTCGAGGGGAGAAGGGCAGGGTATAAATATAGGAAATAAATAAATAAATAAATAGTTTCAAATATCTAGGCATTATGTTCTTTTCATCTGGTGCTTGGGCTAACCACATTACTCACAGTATTCAAAGAGCAATGAAAGCGGCAGGTTCCATTTATAAGCTGTACCATCACAGATACCCAGACACAATCAGATCTGCCCTGGAAGTCTTTAAGACAAAAATAATGCCAACACTTACATTTGGGGCTGAAATTTGGGGGCACATCAATTTGACCAAGATCAAAGCCTTCCAAGTTAAGCAGCTTCACACCCTCCTGAACAACACTGACAGCAGCAGTAAGGGCAGAGCTAGGAATGCCCTCAGTAAAAGCTCAAATCCGAATGAGACAATTCAATTACTGGTCAAAAATTGTAGAATTACTTTGTAAGGAGATGTCTGTTAACGTCCTGAGAAACACAGCGGATTTTGCAACCCTGGTCTTCTTTCTCTCACCATGGCATTCAGATTGGGACTGAATTCCTGCGTGGTGTTTCAGGAGGAGAAAAGAAAAGATGCAGCATTGGCATGGAACTGATCACGTCACCATCCCTGATCTTTCTGGATGAGCCGACCACAGGACTGGATGCAAATACAGCTAACTCCATCATGCAGCTATTACACCAGTAAGTTTCTATGCTTGGCCTTTCTTTTCTCTATCCCAACACAAGACTAACTTAGGCAGAATTTGGTTGGACGCCTTCTCAAAAAGATAAGATATACACGTATGGTAGGCTACTGTGTATATAGCCGGAGAGCTTAGTACATTGTGTCTCTTGCAGTCATTTCTATCCTGAAAATGCATGCCAGTTTTCAATGTAAGAAGCAGCTTATATACAGCGATATCTCCTGAAGGAGAATGAGCAAAGTAAGTATTTATTATTTATTTAGGATATTTATAGCCCCCCTTTCTCAGCCATACGGCGACTCAAGGCGGGTTACAGATTGGCACAATTTGATGTCAGGCATTCATAAAAATGCCATTAAAAACAATCAACATTACAATATAAAACATAAATAAAAACCATTAAAGCATATAATCATCGGTGTCATCTTGTTAAAAACGTTATCCAGTAACCTTGTCTGGCCATTCCACGTTCATCATTCATAGTTCTGTGTTATCTATTCCATTGCATTTTCAAAGGCCTTATATGGTCTAGGGCCGATGTAATTGAGGGACCACCTCACCCCCTACTAGCCCCAGAGATCCCTTCGACCAAGATTTATTGGAAGTTCCCAATTTTAAGACATTGTGTCTAACAGCAACCAGACGCAGAGCCTTTACAGCAGTGGCACCATTACTCTGGAACACTCTGCCACCTGAAGTCCGTGCCTTGCGGAACTTATCAGCGTTCCGCAGGGCATGTAAGACATATTTGTTTCAACAGGCTTTTGATCTTTGATATTGCTGGGTTTTTAAAAATTGTTTTAGATTTTAGTCTGTTCTTGTAAGCTGCTCCAAGCCCTAAGGGAGTGACGGCTTATAAGTCTGAATAATAGATAAATAGATAGATAGATAGATAGATAGATAGATAGATAGACAGACAGACAGACAGACAGACAGACAGACAGACAAATAAAAGCTTGCTGAAAGAGCCAGGTCTTTACTTTTTTTCAGAAAGTCAGGAGGGAGGGAGCCGATCTAATATCCCTGAGGAGGGAGTTTGATAGCCGGGGGCCACCACTGAAAAGGCCCTGTCCTTCGTCTTTGCCAATCCCACTTGCGAGGCAGGCAGGCTCAAGAGTAGGGCCTCCCCGGATGATCTTAAGCTCCTAGATGGTTCATAGGAGGAGATACGTTTGGACAGGTAAGCTGGACCACAATCGTTTAGGGCTTTATAGGCTAAAGTACTGTCAGTGGTAGCACAGCAAGGCAAGGAAACACATTGATCACAGGCTATAAACTAATTTATTGAACATTTATTTACATTAAAAGCTAAGCACATCATAAAACTGCTTCCTCTCCATCCGGCAGCTGCATCACGAACATAGAATACTCTGCTATCAGCATTAGTCCACACCTCCTGCATTCCAGAGTGACGTATGACACACGACGCACTATGCTGCGTCCATTGATTCCCTTCATGGTTCAGTTAACCCTTTCCACACAGGAATGCTCATCTATGAAGTGCACTTGGGCAGCAGTATTGTGGTTTCCTTTTGACATAATTCAGGGCTGGAAGTTAGTCTCTCATAATGCTACTCTCTCATAATGCTGCTACTGTGATCTTTGCTTTGCAGACTTTCCAGGAAAGGAAGGACAGTCATCTTTTCTATTCATCAGCCACGCTTCTCTATCTTCAAGTTGTTTGACCACCTGACCTTGATGAACAAGGGGGAAATCATCTTTGCAGGGCCAGCAGAAGAAGCCACCACCTATTTCAATGGCATCGGTAAGGAAAGAGAGCAGAACTAACATTTGTGGATAGTGAAGAGTTGTTCCCAATATGTCTGTGTACACAGCATCAACAAGAATAAGATAATGGGTGAGACCATTGCAACCAAGAAACAAAATTGTGGGTGGATTGGACTGTACAAATTAAGTGTATTTTCTGGATGGTAGCAGCTTGTTTTCATGGAAAAGCAGGAAGGCAGGCAGCATACGGGGCCGCCACCATCAGTTCCAGGGTCAACATGCCTTGTCCCCTGACATCTCTCAGCCTCCTGTGGGGAGAGTGGGAGGAGAGTACTGCCTGGGGGTCAGCTTCTTCGGCTGCATGCCCACAGTGCCTCTCTCCTCTAGAATCGTAAATACAGATTTAATAAATCACACTTACGGCCCACAAACTTTTTATATCATTCCTTTTTCCCAAAAAGGGACCCAAGATGCTTGTACAGGCTTATATAGAGAGGTATAGTCTTTCAGATAGCTTGGAAGTAAACGTAATAGCTATTATTTATATTATTTATTTACTTATTTATTTAATTACAGTATTTATACTCCACCCTTCTCACCCCACAGGCAACTCAGGGCAGATTACAATGTACGTATACATGGCAAACATTCAATGCCACAGACACACAACATATATAGACAGACACTCAGAGGCTATTTAACATTCCAGCTTCTGGCCACCAGGGAAGCTGTCGCTTCACCGTCCATTTGTGACACTGATGAAGTACTTTCTCATTCTTTGCATACTTCCTGAAGCTTTTTATGGCCTTGTAAAGCAGTTAATAAGTGGTACCTAAATTTTCTACTTGACAGATGCAACTGACTTTCGGGCTGCAAAGGTCGACAACAAGCTACACAATTTTGGTCGGAAGCTCACTCTGACCCGGGCTGGCTTCGAACTCATGACCTTTCGGTCAGTAGTGATCTTAATGCAGCTTAATGCAGCTGACTCCCAGCCAGCTGTGCCACAGTCCCGGTGTGGGACTACATTTATTATTTATTTATTCATCAGGCGACTCAGAGCGGTTAACAACCAGTATCAACAACACAGTACAAAATCATTAATCATTTAAAACAGTAATATCAATTAATTAACATCAGAACATCAATACAACAATACAGGAAAACAACAATCCATCACGTCTCATCAATAGAATCAGCATCAGATCTCGTTGTCCATTAATCCATATTCCAGAAATCAATCAATTGCACTGCTTAGTTGAAAGCCTGTTCGAAGAGCCAGGTCTTCACTCTCTTCCTGAATGTCAATAAGGAGGGGGCCGATCTAATGTCTGTAGGAAGGGCGTTCCACAGCCGGGGGGCCACTACTGAGAAGGCCCTGTCTCTCGTCCCCGCCAGGCGTGCTTGTGAAGCCGGCGGGACCAAGAGCAGGGCCTCCCCAGGCGATCTTAACGTCCTAACTGGTTCATAGGAGGAGATGCGTTCAGACAGATAGTCTTTGGTTCATCTATACTTCATGAAAGTATTATGTAATAATAAATGTATTGATCCAAGTGGGCAAACATATTTACTTGCAATTACAGGATTTTTTTTTCATGTCAGGAGCGACTTGAGAAACTGCAAGTCGCTTCTGGTGTGAGAGAATTGGCCATCTGCAAGAACATTGCCCAGAGGGCGCCCAGATGTTTTAGTTTTTGTGTTTTGGGGTGGTTGGTTTTTTTGATGTTTTATCATCCTTGTGGAGGCTTCTCTCATCTCCCCACATGGGGAGCTGGAGCTGACAAAGGAAGCTCATCCGCACTCTCCCCAGATTTGAACCTCTGACCTGTCAGTCATCAGTCCTGCCAATTTAACTCATTGCACCACCGAAGGCTCCTATTACAGATATTATTTGTGTTTTTAAAAACTGTTTCTGATGCATTCATTCTTGATATAGTTTTTATTGCAATTCTTGTTGGGTTTTTTTTAATTGTAAGCTGCCTCATTTAAAAATAGGGTTGAGGTAGATCTGAAAATCTATATTGCTTCTCCATATGTTCAAGTGATCTCAAGGTGATACTGGAAATACTCCGAAATGAAGCCAGTGTGAACTCCTTCATCTTTGTGTGTGTTGGGAATCATGAGCTGTTAGGCTCAAAACAACCCACTCCTGGGGTGATTCCACCAAAAATATAGCAGAGTGCTGAATGCAGCAGAAACGTACATGTAGTGAGCAAGGATTTGCTCCCATTCAACAGGATGGAACAGGATTGCAGATCCACAACTTCATAGGATCAAAAATAATATGTTTATTAAAGACATAAGAAATCCATTCTAGATAGGAAAAGTTCTTGGAGCTAACTAGCTTCACTGAGCTATCTTCTAAGGAAAAAGAAAAAGGAAAAATAATAAAAGTAGCTATGCCTACTATATCTTGTTTGGATAATGGAAATATTCCTCCTCACTCTAGTGAAGACAAAAAGAGAAGAGGGCAAGCCAATATGGAGACCTCTGACCACATGGCTTTGCCAGAGCAATAAAAATACCTTTAAAGAAGAAGTTATGATTTTTCCTGAAGAGATCACATTGCTAAGTATTCAAAGGGGGAGGAGATAGTGTCATGCAAAGATGAGTAAGACAGCCCCCTTCTAAACCCCTTCTTAAGATAAGCTTTCTAGAGGAAATTGGGAAAGGAATCCCTCACTCTTATCTATCTATCTATCTATCTATCTATCTATCTATCTATCTATCTATCTATCTATCTATCTATCTGTCTATCTATCTATCTATCTATTTAGCGTTTTTATAACTCGGTCTTCTCAACCTCCGGAGAGGGACTCAGGCCGGCTAACAACAGAGGATTCAATACATCAATATAAAATACATTAAAATACAATTCATACCATTTACAAAAAAGTCAGTTCGTCAGAGTGAAATCACAAATTACAAATTCATCGCCATCCGCCAGTAGGTCAACAGTTATTGACTCAGTCATCAATCTGCAAATGCAGTGTCCCAAAGCCATGATTTTACCAGCTTTCTAAAAGTTAGGAGGGAAGAGGCAGATCTAATCTCCATCGGGAGGGAGTTCCAGAGCCGAGGGGCCACCACCGAGAAGGCCCTGTCCCTTGTTCCCACCAAATGATTGCGAAAGAGGTGGGACTGAGAGCAGGACCCCTCCAGAAGATCTTAATCTTGATGTTAATCCATTCGGACAGGTAAATTGGGCCGGAACCGTTTAGGGATTTATAGGTCAACACCAGCACTTTGAATTGTGCTCGGAAGCTGATTGGCAGCCAGTGGAGCTGACACAACAGAGGAGTCGTATGCTCCCTGTACCCCGCTCCTGTTAGTAGTCTGGCTGCCGCTCGTTGGACTAGTTGTAGCTTCCGGGCAGTCTTCAGAGGCAACCCCACGTAGAGAGCATTGTAGTAGTCTATACGGGATGTAACCAGAGCGTGGACCACCGTGGCCAAGTCAGACTTCCCAAGGTACGGGTGCAGCTGGCTCACAAATTGAGGGCCAGAGACTTGTGCAGTCAGGGATGAAACCAACACTGACGAGATTGGACGTGTTCAGGGTGGTATGGCCGTAGGCGGTTGCTCCTGACACGACAAAAAAAAGGGGGGGGGGATGAAACCCAACAATGTGTAATCCCTATCTCATGTGTATTTCTGTTTCAGGCTACTACTGTGAGCAGTTCAACAATCCGTTGGACTTTTTTCTGGATGTGATCAGTGGAGAGGTTGTGCAGTCCCAGTTGAGAGAAGGCTTAGGTGGGTCTTTTGCAGAAGTCAACTCAGATGGAAAAGTGATTACTAATGTGTGCTAGATGAAGTATGCAATACCACCTAACTCAGTGCTTCCTGTCTTGCAAGTTTCTGCCAAATGTGGTGTGTCTACACTATAAATCCACCAAAGATTCAGAGTCATAATTTCTTCCATTGGGTGCATCTACACTGTAGAATTAATGCATTTTGGCCTTACTTGAACCTCTGTGACTCAATGCTATAGAACAGGGGTTCTCAACCTTCCTCATGCTGCGACCCCTTAATACAATTCCTCATGTTGTAGTGACCCCCAACCATAAAATTATTTTCCTTCCTACTTCATAATTATCATTTTGCTACTGTTATCAATCGTAATGTAAATATCTGATATGCAGGATGGATTTTCATTCACTGGACCAAATTTGGCACAAATACCCGATACGCCCAAATTTGAATACTGGTGGGGTTGGGGGGTGGTGGCTTGATTTTGTCATTTCGGAGTTGTGGTTGCTGGGATTTGTAGTTCACTTGCAATCAAAGAGCATTCTGAACTCTACCAACGATTGAATTGAACCAAACTTGGCACACAGAACTCCCATGGCCAACAGAAAATACTGGGTTTGGTGAGCATTGACCTTGAGTTTTGGAGTTATAGTTCACCTACATACAGAGAGCACTGTGGACTCAAACGATGATAGATCTGGACCAAACTTGGCACGAATACTCAATAAGCCCAAATGTGAACAGTGGTGGAATTTGGGGGAAATAGTCCTTGACATTTTGGGAGTTGTAGTTGCTGGGATTTGTAGTTCACCTAAAACCAAGGGGCATTCTGAACCCCACCAACAACAGAATGGGGCCAAACTTTCCACGTAGAATCCCCATGACCAACACAAAATACTGTGTTTTCGGGTGGTCTCTAGTGACCCCTCTGATACTCCCTCGTGACCCCTCCAGGGGTCCCGACCCCCAGGTTGAGAACCACTGCTATAGAATCATGAAAGTTGTAATTTGGTGAGGCAGCAGTACTCTTTGGCAGATAAAGCTGAAGAGTTTATGAAACTACAACTGCCATGACTCCATAGCATTGAGTAATGGCAGTAGAAGAGTACCAAACTGCATTAAATGCACAGTGTAGATTTGCCCACAGTCTCAGCCAGGGGTCCTCAAACTATGGCCTGGGGGCCGGATGCGGCCCTCCAACGTTATTTACCCGGCCCTCGCTCAGGGTCAACCTAAGTCTGAAACAACTTGAAAGGACACCACCACCACAACAACAACAACAACACAACAACAACAATCCTATCTCATCATCCAAAAGTAGACCCACACTTCCCATTGAAATACTAATAATTTTATATTTGTTGAAATTGTTCTTCATTTTAATTATTGTATTGTTTTAAAGTGTTTTTTGCACTACAAAAAAGATATGTGCAGTGTGCATAGGAATTCATTCATGTTTTTTCAAATTATAATCCTGCCCTCCAACAGTTTGAGAGACTGTGACCTGGCCCTCTGTTTAAAAAGTTTGAGGACCCCTGGGGCCAATCTCCCTTGAAAAACAAGCCCTAGAAACAGCAACAAAAAAGTCCACTATATGGTTCAGATATGTGGATGACACTTTCACCATTTGGATCCATGGAGAAGAAGAACTCAACAGGTTCCTGGACCATCTTAACAGCATCCACCCAAACATCCAATTCACCATGGAAAAAGAAAATGAAGGAAGACTGCCTTTTCTAGATGTCCTAGTCATCTGCAAACCAGATCAACAATTGGGTCACACCGTTTACAGAAAACCTCACACACACAGATAGATATCTACATAAAAACTCCAACTATCACCCAAGTCAAAAAAGAAGCACCATTAAAGCCTTGGCAGACCGTGCAAAAAGAATCTGCGAACCCCACCTCCTCCAAGATGAACTGAACCACCTCAACTGGGCTCTCCAGGCCAATGGATACTCCACCTCAGACATCAGAAGAGCTGCAAGACCAAGAACAAGCCACGAGAGTAAAGACGAACCAAAGAGCATTCTGAACTCCACCAACAATGGAATTGAACCAAACTTGGCACACAGAACTCCCATGGCCAACAGAAAATACTGGAAGGGTTTGGTGGGCATTGACCTTGAGTTTTGGAGTTATAGTTCACCTACAGATCCACCCAGAGGAAAAGTGTTCTTGCCATACATCAAGGGAACCACTGACCTCATAGGGAAGCTGATGAGGAAACACAACATACAAACTATCTACAGACCCACCAAGAAAATCCAACAAATGCTACGTTCAGCAAAGGACAAGAGGGATCCTCTCACCTCTGCAGGAGTCTACTGTGTACCATGCAGCTGTGGACAAGTCTACATAGGGACCACCAAACGCAGCATTGCCCAAACACGAATCAAGGAACATGAAAGGCACTGCAGACTAATTCAACCAGAGAAGTCAGCCATAGCAGAGCACCTGATGAACCAACCTGGACACAGCATATTATTTGAGAACACAGAAATGCTGGACCACTCTCACAACCACCATGTCAGACTACACAGAGAAGCCATTGAAATCCACAAGCATGTGGACAATTTCAACAGAAAGGAGGAAACCATGAAAATGAACAAAATCTGGCTACCAGTATTAAAAAAAACCTCTAAAATTACAACAGCACAACAACAGAGAGGAAACAAACAAGGACATCTAATCACCTCTCAACAAAAGTTTGCTCTAGGCACTGTCAGGCCATTATATGCTAATCAAGGTGGTCAGTTGAAACATTCACACCTAGCTCCAGCAGACAAGAGTCCTTTGTCCCACCTTGGTCATTCCACATATAAACCCTTTCTCCTAGTTCCAACAGACCTCACTATCTCTGAGGATGCTTGCCATAGATGCAGGCGAAACATCAGAAGAGAATGCCTCTAGACCATGGCCACATAGCCCGAAAAAACCTACAACAACCCAATCTCCCTTCTGTTTGCTTCTTGTTTGTTATGCTGGTATGTAGAATTCCAACTGTTCTGGATATAGCTTTACCTGTTCTCTTGCTTGCCTTTGAAACGTCCTTTTCTGAAGGAATAAAAGGCTTTGCCTGGCAGTGAAAGGAAAGCAGAGAGGAGGCAAGCCCTAGTCCAGAAGAAATTTCCAAAGGTTGGGAGTAGCCACTGAGGACCTCATCACACTAAAACCTGGATCCATTTTAAATCTGGTTTCTGCCTCTCACAGAATTTTGAGATTCATAGTTTAGTGAAGCCCGGGACCTGTTTAAAGGCCACTCTCTAAACTACAAACCTCAGAATTCTGAAGGTGGCAGCAACTGGATTTAAAGTCTCTCGTGTGATGAGGTCCAAAGACATCTCTCTCACCAAATGATCCTATGATGGTGGCAGGACCAAGAAAAAAACTTTCCTTTAAAGAGCTCAAGGTTTTGGCAGGTTGGTATAGTGAGATCATCCGGACTTAAACCATATAGGGCTTTATAGGTCATGCCTATGGAGATGTCGATTTGGTTTGTGGTTATTGTTGTTCATTCGTTCAGTCGTCTCCGACCCTTCGTGACCTCATGGACCAGCCCACGCCAGAGCTCCCTGTCGGCCGTCACCACCCCCAGCTCCTTCAAGGTCATTCCAGTCACTTCAAGGATGCCAATCCATCCATCTTGCCCTTGGTCGGCCCCTCTTCCTTTTACCTTCCACTTTCCCCAGCATAATTGTCTTCTCTAAGCTTTCCTGTCTCCTCATGATGTGGCCAAAGTACTTCAACTTTGTCTCTAGTATCCTTCCCTCCAATGAGCAGTCTGGCTTTATTTTCTGGAGAATGGACTGGTTGGATCTTCTCGCAGTCCAAGGCACTCTCAGAACTTTCCTCCAACACCACAGTTCAAAAGCATCTATCTTCCTTCGCTCAGCCTTCCCTAAGGTCCAGCTCTCACATCCGTAGGTTACTACAGGGAATACCATGGCTTTGACTAGGCGGATCTTTGTTGCCAGTCTGATGTCTCTACTCTTTACTATTTTATCGAGAATGGACATTGCTCTCCTCCCAAGAAGTAAGCGTCTTCTGATTTCCTGGCCACAGTCTGCATCTGCAGTAATCTTTGCACCTAGAAATACAAAGTCTGTCACGGCCTCCACATTTTCTCCCTCTATTTTCCAGTTGTCAATTTTTGGTTTGTGGTATTTGGGTGGTTTTGGTTATTTTGTGTTTTGTGTAGTATCTTATGGTATTGAATGTTTGCGGATATTCATTGTAAACTGTCCTGAGTCCCATGGGGAGATAGGGTGGGATATAAATAAAGTATTATTATTATTATTATTATTATTATTATTATTATTACTGTATTATTATTATTATTATTATTATTATTATTATTATTATTATTATTATTATTATTATTATTATGACTGTGTACGAACCCACGCAATGTGTTCGATCATCTGGAGAGGCCCTGCTCTCACTCCCAGCCCCTTCGCAGGTGCGATTGGTGGGGACGAGAGAGAGAGCTTTCTCTATGGTGGCCCCCCAACTCTGGAACTCATTCCCCAAGGATATCAAATAAGCCCCCACATTGGCATTTAGGAGGAGCCTGAAAACGTAGCTGTTCCAGTGTGCCTTCCCTGAATTAAAGGAACAATCCCCTGCAAAATGTCCTGAGAAGCACTTTAATTACCCATTGGGTTGCTCTCCCTGAATTTCGTTTAAAACCCTCCTACTAGATACACTATACCTCTGCTCATGCCCAGCGTTTATTTTTAAAATTTTAACTATTACATCTGGCCTCGACATAGGTTTTTAAATCTTTGTGCGTTATTGTCTATTTGTGAGTTATATTAATTGTATTGTTTATTTGCTTATTGCTTGTTGTTTTTACTGATGTGTTGTTAGGCTTGGCCTCATGTAAGCTGCTCTGAGTCCCCATGGGGAGATGGTTGCAGGGTATAAATAAAGATTATTATTATTATTATTATTATTATTATTATTATTATTATTATTATTAGCACTTTAAATATTGTGCCCAGGAACAAACCAGTAGTCAATGCAGACTTGTTTTCCAATAATTATACACTGTGTTCATATAGTACAGTCTTCTGATAGCCATTTTTGCCATTTTTTGACAAGCTGGCCTTTTATGAAAAAGGTTTTGCCATCAAAACATTTGACCTAAAACATAGCTATTTAGTGCCTAGACAAGTCGGCTATGTAGTAAGTGAAGAGGTGTTCCAGACACATTGATTAGGCTGCCACCTAATGGATTTATTTATTGTGTCATCAGCAGCCATACTATTGTATTACATTTCTAACAGAACAAAACAAACAAACAGATAAAAAAACACAGATTTTGCAAACTTGGTAGTTGATTAAATGTCCTTTGACCAGTATCTGGCCACTTGGAGTGCCTCTGGTGTTGCCGCAAGAAGGTCCTCCATTGTGCATGTAGCAGGGCTCAGGTTGCATTGCAGCAGGTGGTCAGTGGTTTGCTCTTCTCCACACTCGCATGTCGTGGATTCCACTTTGTAGCCCCATTTCTTAAGATTGGCTCTGCATCTCGTGGTGCCAGAGCGCAGTCTGTTCAGCGCCTTCCAAGTCGCCCAGTCTTCTGTGTGCCCAGGGGGGAGTCTCTCATCTGGTATCACCCTATTGAGGTGCTGGGTTTGAGCCTGCCACTTTTGGACTCTCGCTTGCTGAGGTGTTCCAGCAAGTGTCTCTGTAGATCTTAGAAAACTATTTCTTGATTTAAGTCGTTGACGTGCTGGCTGATACCCAAACAAGGGATGAGCTGGAGATGTCTCTGCCTTGGTCCCTTCACTATTGGCTGCTACTTCCTGGCGGATGTCAGGTGGTGCAATACCGGCTAAGCAGTGTAATTTCTCCAGTGGTGTAGGGCGCAGACACCCCGTGATAATGCGGCATGTCTCATTAAGAGCCACATACACTGTTTTAGCGTGGTGAGATGTGTTCCACACTGGGCATGCATACTCAGCAGCAGAGTAGCATAGCGCAAGGGCAGATGTCTTCACTGTGTCTGGTTGTGATCCCCAGGTTGTGCCAGTCAGCTTTCGTCATGATATTGTTTCTAGCGCCCACTTTTTGCTTGATGTTCAGGCAGTGCTTCTTGTAGGTCAGAGCACGGTCCAGAGTGACTCCCAGGTATTTGGGTGCGTTGCAATGCTCCAGTGGGATTCTTTCCCAGGTAATCCTCAGAGCTCTGGATGCCTGTCTGTTCTTAAGGTGAAAGGCACATGTCTGTGTTTTAGATGGATTAGGGATCAGCTGGTTTTCCCTGTAATAGGCAGTAAGAGCACCTAGAGCTTCGGAGAGCTTCTGTTCAACCATCTCAAAGCTCCCTGCTTGAAGCGGTAATGGCACGATCGTCAGCATAGATGAAACTCTCTGTCCCTTCTGGCAGTGGCTGGTTTGTGTAGATGTTGAACATGGATGGAGCAAGCACGCTCCCCTGAGGCAGGCCGTTCTTCTGTTTCCGCCATCTGCTTCTCTGGCCCTGGAACTCAACAAAAAAGCTCCTGTTTTGTAGCAGGTTTCCTATGAGGCGGGTGAGGTGGTAGTCCTTTGTGATATTATACATTTTTCTCAGGAGGAGGCGGTGGTTCACAATATCATAGGCTGCTGACAGGTCTATGAAGACAGCTCCTTGATTGATTGAAATTGTTTTTATCTTGGGTAACGGTTGAGTGATGTGTCCAATCTTTCTTTTCTTTGACTCAGGCAGTAAAAAGGACATCAATTTCTCCAGCAACTCCTCTCTTGACAAGAGCGTGCTCTCCAACTATTATCGCCAATCCACCTACTATGAACAGCTGCAGGAGGACCTGAAAAGCCTACAGTCATCTCAAAGCCATTCCTTGGATGTCGTTCCATCCAAACCCAAATACGTTACCTCATTCATCCACCAGGTGAAGATGAAAACGTTAAGGATGGAGCGGGGGGGATGGAGAAACTCAAAAATAAGCACAATGTTTTTCCTTTCTTTTCCAGTTGTGGGTAATTTTGATCTCGAGCTTGGAAAAGTTGCTTTTTGGAATGACAACTTCCAGAAAGCACAAGCTGACATGGTACTTGCTGGAGGAGTCGGAGAACAATTTTCCTAAAAGTAACTTTCCCAAATTCTGCTTTGATTATATAATGAGCATAAGCAACATGCATGTGCCAGCATAAGGATCACCAGAAAATGTTGGGGAACCTCGGTGTTTATAAGATTTCAAAAATAGACCAAGATCGTACATTACTTGTTTAGTTACAAATGCATTCCTAAGCATCATCTTCTGGCCTGATGCTTCCAGCCAGGAGCCACACAGAGTGATGCAGGTCTATCCTGCTGATGATCAGGGCACAGTAGGATGATTTTTTCCAGTCCCCATCTACCAGTGAGTAAGCTGTGACAACTGGAAGCAGGGCCTCCTGTTTGCAGCTTCACTCACTTCCAGGAAGGGGCCGGAAATATCCTGCATTATTTCCAAATAAATATAGTGTCAATTTGCTTGAGAGTTACTATTAAAAATAGGCCTAACTAATACTATACCCCATACTATAGCATACACAAGTTTTTGGTGGTATGGGCATACCAAATCACCTTGTCTCTCTCCTGAGGAACAAGTAGCAACAGTAAGAACTGACCATGGAATAACAGACTGGTTCAAGATTGAGAAAGGCATACAGCAGAGTTGTATACTCTCACCCAACCTATTCAACTTGTATGCAGAACACATCATGCGATGTGCGGGGCTTGATGAATGCAAGGCTGGAGTAAAAATTGCTGGAAGAAACATTAACAACCTTAGATATGCAGATGATACCACTTTGATGGCCGAATGCGAGGAGGAGCTGAGGAGCCTTCTAATCAAGGTGAAAAAAGAAAGTGCAAAAGCTGGGTTGCAGCTAAACAGCAAAAAAAAAAAAAAAGATTATGGCAACAAGAATGATTGAAAACTGGGAAATATAGGGAGAAAACGTGGAGGCAGTGACAGACTTTGTATTTCTAGGTGCAGAGATTACAGCAGATGCATACTGCAGCCAGGAAATCGGAAGACGTTTACTTCTTGGAAGGAGAGCAATGACCAATCTCAATAAAATACTGGACAGTAGAGACATCACATTGGCAACGAACATCTGCATAGTAAAAGCAAGGATATAACCCATAGTCACCTATGGATGTGAAAGTTGGACCATAAGGAAGACTGAGCGAAGGAGAATAGATGCTTTTGAATTGTGTTGCTGGAGGAAAGTTCTGAGAGTGCCTTGGACCGCCAGAAGATCCAACCAGTCCATACTTCAGGAAATAAAGCCCAACTGCTCAATGGAGGGAAGCATATTAGAGGCCAAGATGAAGTATTTAGGCCACATAATGAGAAGGCAGGAAAGCTTAGAGAAGACAATGATGCTGGGGAAAATGGGAGGAAAAAGGAAGAGGGGCCGACCAAGGGCAAGATGGATGGATGGCATCCTTGAAGTGACTGGCTTGACCTTGAAGGAGCTGGGGGTGGTGACGGCCGAACAGGGAGCTATGGCATGGGTTGGTTCATGAGATCACGAAGAGTCAGAAGTGACTGAATGAATGAACAAAAACAATATGACTTGATATTAATAGTGAACTACAGTAACTAATTGGAAATGGACAAACTAAATGTAACACAGTTTTACCGTATTGTACGTGTATTTTAATTTTTCATATAAAGTATTATTTTTTTGGGTTGTTGTAGGTTTTTCCGGGCTATATGGCCATGTTCTAGAGGCATTTTCTCCTGACGTTTCGCCTGCATCTATGGCAAGCATCCTCAGAGGTAGTGAGGTCTGTTGGAAGTAGGAAAGTGGGTTTATATATCTGTGGAATGACCAGGGTGGGACAAAGGACTTTTGTCTGCTGGAGCTAGGTGTGAATGTTTCAACTGACCACCTTGATTAGCATTTAATGGCTTGGAAGTGCCTGGGGAATCTTTTGTTGAGAGTGATTTGATGTGCCTGATTGTTTCCTCTCTGTTGTTTTGCTGTTGTAATTTTAGAGTTTTTTTTTTAAATACTGGTAGCCAGATTGTGTTCATTTTCATGGTTTCCTCCTTTCTGTTGAAATTGTCCACATGCTTGTGGATTTCAATGGCTTCTCTGTGTAGTCTGACATGGTGGTTGTGAGAGTGGTCCAGCATTTCTGTGTTCTCAAATAATATGCTGTGTCCAGGTTGGTTCATCAGGTGCTCTGCTATGGCTGATTTCTCTGGTTGGAGTAGTCTGCAGTGACTTTCATGTTCCTTGATTCGTGTTTGGGCTGCTGCGTTTGGTGGTCCCTATGTAGACTTGTCCACAGCTGCATGGTACACGGTAGACTCCTGCAGAGGTGAGAGGATCCCTCTTGTCCTTTGCTGAACGTAGCATTTGTTGGATTTTCTTGGTGGGTCTGTAGGTGGTTTGTATGTTGTGTTTCCTCATCAGCTTCCCTATGCGGTCAGTGGTTCCCTTGATGTATGGCAAGAACACTTTTCCTCTGGGTGGATCTTCATCTTGACTCTTGTGGCTTGTTCTTGGTCTTGCAGCTCTTCTGATGTCTGAGGTGGAGTATCCATTGGCCTGGAGAGCCCAGTTGAGGTGGTTCAGTTCATCTTGGAGGAGGTGGGGTTCGCAGATTCTTTTTGCACGGTCTGCCAAGGCTTTAATGGTGCTTCTTTTTTGACTTGGGTGATGGTTGGAGTTTTTATGTAGATATCTATCTGTGTGTGTGTGTGGGTTTTGGGGGTTCTGTAAATGTTGTGACCCAATTGTTGATCTGGTTTGCGGATGACTAGGACATCTAGAAAAGGCAGTCTTCCTTCATTTTCTTTTTTTCTTATTATTTTTTTGCAGGGTTTCTTCAGAATTCCAGTTGCTTGAGTTATGGTTAACTAAGAGTCTACTGCATATTATCTTCTGTTTTGAGAGGGAATAATCAAATGTTCTGGTGAAGGATACTTGATGGCAACATTTAATGTTCATTGTTTTCTAGCTATACATTGTGAGTTGTCGCAATGTGAAGCAACTCCTGAGGAACCCCCAGACTTCCATTGGTCAGCTCCTTTTGGGCATTGTCTTCTCTGTGTTGGTTGGACTTATTTACTATCAAATACCCAACACTCTCCCTGAAGCTCTACAGAACAGGTAAGGAAGAATTACACAGGTATTCTTGTTGGGGTAGCTCCAAAATATAGAAAGGCACTCATTTTCTTTAGTCTCTACTTCAGACAAATAAATAAATAAGTGGGGCAATTGTTTGGGTGAAAACTGAATTCCTGCAATTTGTCGTATTGCAGCATTCACAGAAGTAAATATTGTTTTAATTAATGCTATGTACTGGTTTAAATCATAGAATCATAGAATCAAAGAGTTGGAAGAGACCTCATGGGCGATCCAGTCCAACCCCCTGCCAAGAAGCAGGAATATTGCATTCAAATCACCCCTGACAGATGGCCATCCAGCCTCTGTTTAAAAGCTTCCAAAGAAGGAGCCTTCACCACACTCCGGGGCAGAGAGTTCCACTGCTGAACGGCTCTCACAGTCAGGAAGTTCTTCCTAATGTTCAGATGGAATCTCCTTTCTTGTAGTTTGAAGCCATTGTTCCGCGTCCTAGTCTCCAGGGAAGCAGAAAACAAGCTTGCTCCCTCCTCCCTATGACTTCCTCTCACATATTTATACATGGCTATCATGTCTCCTCTCAGCCTTCTCTTCTTCAGGCTAAACATGCCCAGCTCTTTAACCCGCTCCTCATAGGGCTTGTTCTCCAGACCTTTTATCATTTTAGTCACTCTCCTCTGGACACATTCCAGCTTGTCAATATCTCTCTTGAATTGTGGTGCCCAGAATTGGACACACTATTCCAGGTGTGGTCTAACCAAAGCAGAATAGAGGGGTAGCATGACTTCCCTAGATCTAGACACTATGCTCCTATTGATGCAGGCCAAAATCCCATTGGCTTTTTTTGCTGCCACATCACATTGTTGGCTCATGTTTAACTTGTTGTCCACGAGGACTCCAAGATCATTTTCACATGTACTGCTCTCGAGCCAGGCATCGTCCCCCATTCTGTATCTTTGCATTTCGTTTGTATTTGTTTGTATTTGATTGTGTTTATATTATTGTAATTGTGAAGTAGCGGCCTTGTACCTTTACTAAAGTAAGCTGTCCTGAGTCCCCCTTCGGGGGTAGAGAAAAGACAGGGTACAAATACGAGAAATAATAAATAAAATAATCTATTTATTATCTTGCTGCAGGTTGGGAGCCTTCTTTTTCATGGTCCTCACTCAGATCTTTGGGAATCTGTCTGCTGTGGAGCTCTTCATCTATGATAGAAAACTCTTCATGTGAGCAACTGTTGTGATTCAAATAAATTGTTATCTGTATTCTCTGAATAAAGACAGAAAATGGCATTTTCAAAATGCCATGTGCAGAATCTCATGCCAGACAGACGTCTCAGCTTTCATCCAGAACTAAACGTAATATAATTTGTACTGTGTAATAGCATCAAGCAGCCAGATGGACTCATGCTAATTTATGGAGATCTGTGTTTTGCATGTAGGAATAGAGATGGAGTATAATTATTAATATCACATTGATGTTCAAGACGCTTTCCTGATCCTCGCTCCAAGATCAGTGCTGAGGAGTTTTGGTTGATTAATGCCTAGATTTGTCAAGAGTCTTCATTCCATCCTTTGTGCTCATATTCGGGGAAGACAAAGAGTGTAGATTCAGTCTTCCGCTTCTACTTTGCAGGTTGGATGGTTTGCACACAGCCAAACCATGCACATTTTGTCGAATGCTTTCATGGCTGGAATCACTGGGTTGTTGTAGGGTTTTTTTTCCGGGCTATATGGCCATGTTCTAGAGGCATTTTCTCCTGACGTTTCGCCTGCATCTATGGAAAGCATCCTCAGAGATAGTGAGGTCTGTTGGAACCAGGAAAATCTATATAAATAAAAATGTAATGTTCGTTTGTGGGATTAACAGAACTCAAAAACCACTGGACGAATTGACACCAAATTTGGACACAAGACACCTAACAACCCAATGTATGTCCTTCACTCAAAAATGATTTTGTCATTTGGGAGTTGTAGTTGCTGGGATTTATAGTTCATGTACAATCAAAGAGCATTCTGAACCCCACCAATGACGGAAATGAGCCAAACTTGGCACACACAACTCCCTTGACTAACAGAAAATATTGGAAGGGTTTGGTGGGCATTGACCTTGAGTTTGGGAGTTGCAGTTCACCTACATCCAGAGAGCAATGTGGACTCAAACAATGATGGTTTCCTCCTTTCTGTTGAAATTGTTCACATGCTTGTGGATTTCAATGGCTTCTCTGAAGTCAGCCATAGCAGAGCACCTGATGAACCAACCTGGACACAGCATATTATTGGAGAACACAGAAATGCTGGACCACTCACAACCACCATGTCAGACTACACAGAGAAGCCATTGAAATCCACAAGCATGTGGACAATTTCAACAGAAAGGAGGAAACCATGAAAATGAACAAAATCTGGCTACCAGTATTAAAAAAAATCTAAAATTACAACAGCAAAACAACAGAGAGGAAACAATCAAGGACATCTAATCACCTCTCAACAAAAGATTGCCCCAGGCACTGCCAGGCCATCAAATGCTAATCAAGGTGGTCAGTTGAAACATTCACACCTAGCTCCAACAAACAAGAGTTCTTTATCCCACCCTGGTCATTCCATAGATATATAAACCCTTTTTCCTACTTCCAACAGACCTCATTACCTCTGAGGATGCTTGCCATAGATGCAGGCGAAACGTCAGGAGAAAATGCCTCTAGAACATGGCCATATAGCCCGAAAAAAAAATCCTGCAACAAGCCATGCACATTTTCCTATGTACAATTTTCAGCTGAGTGTGGACAACCAATAGTATGTAGATCAGGCATCCTCAAACCGTGGCCCTCCAACTGTTTGGGCCTTCAACTCCCTGAATATCTGACAATTGAACAAGCTTATTAAGGCTTCTGGGAGTTGGAGACCCAAAAAGTTTGAAGGATGCCTAATGTAGATTCTGGAATGTCAAGTTTGTTGGTTTCATGTTCAGGCCAGGTAATGTAGACATAAAAAGTTCTGCAGAGCAAGTCCACCGGGAGGGATTCCTTTTGAGGTTTGGTAAATGTGAGTAAGTAGAATAAGCAGAAGTTTTACCACAGTATTTAAACCAAGGTGTGTCCTGCTGTATAATAAAATGTCACTTAGGCTTGTGAAACAAGCAACAGTATCTTTCCTTTAGTTCAAAGGTTCGAACATGCTAACAATATATACTTTATTGTTATGTTGTTTATTTTATTGCAATTTGTATTTTTGTATTGTAATTTGTTGTTCGGGCTTGGCCCCATGTAAGCCGCTCCGAGTCCCCGTTGGGGGAGATGGTGGCGGGGTATAAATAAAGATTATTATTATTATGATGTGAGAAGGACCATACACTCCTATATCATGTTGGACATTTGGGTCATATAGTATATGACCCAAAATATAGAGAGCAAGGGTTCCCTGAAATGCAAAAGGCAAAAGGTCCCTAAGACCAAAAGTAAAACAATTATATAATTGCAATAATGTATATTATGTCTTTGCCATAGATGCAGGCGAAACGTCAGGAGAGAATGCCTCTAGACCATGGCTATATAGCCCAAAAAACCTACAACAACCCATAATATACATTATTGCAATTATATAATTGTTTTACTTTTGGTTTTAGGGACCTTTTGTCTCTTTGAATTCAGGCAGGGAACCGAGGAATAAAATTGTCTTTTTAAATAGTCTTTGAAATATGCCTCATGCCATAAAATGATCAGTCCTTAAGATATTTGGCAACCAGCACTTTCTCTTCATTGTCCAAAGAGAGAACAAATGGCAGAATGACAGTTAGAACCGTTGGCCTCAGCAGCTAGCCAGCTAATCAGAATCCTGGCCCCTGGCACACTCAGCCAATGAGCTGCTAACACATCTCTCTCCAGTTAACCCACCATATTATGGCATCCTTTTTCAAATCTTAATATTCCTCACATATTTAACCCAATAAAGATTCTACTTCTAATTCTGTTGCCGGACTGTTCTTGTATAGACAGGGCAAGGAATCAAATCTATGAGCTTCTATTCCAATTTGTAGACTTTCATGGGTGACATCTTTTTTAAAACCATTTTCTTCCTTCTTGTCCATCCAGCCATGAGAGCGCCAGGAGTTACTACAGGACCTCTGCCTTCTTTCTGGCCAAAGTATTTGCCGATCTCCTTCCCAACCGCATCCTCCCTGTGTTGTTGTTCTCTTCCATTGCGTACTTCATGATGGGTGAGTTATGACCTGTGCCTTGAACCATGGGAAATGAGGGGAAGGTGGGGAGATGTATGAAAAGTCCACGTTAAAAACCTTTTCAGGTCCAAATGCATCTAAAAGTTATATAAAGACACTAGCGGTTCCCTTGCCACGCGTTGCTGTGGCCCAGTCTGGTGATCTGGAAAATAAAGTAATGAGAAAGTGTTGGTTTCTAATATATGTAATGTCTTTATGCTTTGTGGGTAAACAGTATTTCTTGCTGTTTCTTTGTCAGTGTTGATGTGGAGAGTGTCTGGTTTGCCAACTCTGGAACATGCGGCATATAATTGTCCTTCTTTAGGGGTCCCTTTCAAATCTTTGATACTGCATCTGTCATATACATATATGTGTGTGTGTGTGTGTGTGTGCGTGAATGGCTGGATGGCTCTTTGTCAGAAGGGCTTTGATTATGTTTTCTTGCCCTGGTGAAGGGAGTGGGACTGGATGGCCTTAAGGCAGCATTTCTGAACCTGGAAAGTCAAGACCCCGGAGGGGGGGGTCACCAGGGGGGTGTCAGAAGGGTCACCCAAGATCACCAGAAAATACAGTATTTTCTGTTGGTCATGGGGGTTCTGTGTGGGATGTTTGGCCCAATTCCATTGTTGGTGGGGTTCGGAAGCTCTATTGTAGGTGAACTATACATCCTAGTAACTACAACTTCTAAATGTCAAGGTCTATTTCCCCCAAACTCCATCTGTGTCCACATTTGGGCATATTGAGTATTCCTGTCAAGTTTGGTCCATATCCATCATTGTTTGAGTCCACAGTGTTCTCTGGATGGAGGTGAACTACAATTCCAAAACTCAAGGTCAATGCCCACCAAACCCTTCCAGTATTTTCTGTTGGTCATGGGAGTTCTGTGTACCAAGTTTGGTTCAATTCCATTGTTGGTGGAGTTCAGAATGCTCTTTGATTGTAGGTGAACTATACATCCCAGCAACTACAACTCCCAATGTCAAAATCATAATTTTTTGAGTGATGGTCACTCATTGTGTTTTGAGATGTTTTGTTGCCAAATTTGGTGTTATTTCATTCATTGATTCTTTTGTTTTTAAGGTACTCATTATGCACAGGGCATTTTGCACAGGGCATAGACTAGTTGTCCCCTGCCACGCGTTGCTGTGGCCCAGTCTGTTGATCTGGAAAATAAAGTAATGAGAAAGTGTTGGTTTCTAATATATGTAATTTCTTTATGCTTGTGGGTAAACAGTATTCCTTGTTGTTTCTTTGTCAGTGTTGATGTGGAGAGTGTCTGGTTTGCCCACCCTGGAACATGCAAGATATCATTGTCCTTCTTTAAGGGTCCCTTTCAAATCTATGATACTATATCTCTGTGTGTAAATCATATCTATCTATCTATCTATCTATCTATCTATCTATCTATCTATCTATATCTATGGCTGGATGGCTCTTTGTCAGGAGGACTTTGATTATGTTTTCTTGCCCTGATGAAGGGAGTTGGATAAGTATTTTCTGTTGGTCATGGGGGTTCTGTGTGGGAAGTTTGCCCCGATTCTGTTGTTCGTGGGTTCAGAATGCTCTTTGATTGTAGGTGAACTGTGAATCCCAGTGACTACAACTCCCAAATGTCAAGGTCTATTTCCCCCAAACTCCATCTGTGTTCATATTTGGGCGTATTGAGTGCTTGTGCCAAGTTTGGTCCAGATCCATCATTGTTTGTGTCCACAGTGCTCTCTGGATGTAGTTGAACTACAGCTCCCAAACTCAAGGTCAATGCCCACCAAACCCTTACAGTGTGTTCTGTTGGTCAAGGAAGTCCTGTATGCCATGTTTGGTTCAATTCCATCATTGGTGGAGTTCAGAATGCTCTTTGATTGTAGGTGAACTATAAATCCCAGCAACTACAACTCCCAAATGACAAACTCAATTTTTTCGAGTGAAGGACATAGATTGGGTTGTTAGGTGTATGCTGTCCAAATTTGTTGTCAATTCGCCCACTGGTTTTTGAGTTCTGTTAATCCCACAAACGAACATTACATTTTTATTTATATAGACTAGCTGTACCTGCCACGCTTTGCTGTGGTCAACCTTCCCTCCCTCTTTCTCTCTTTTTTTCCTACCCTTCCTTCCCTCTCTATTTCCTTCCTTCCCTCTTTTTCTTTCCCTTCTTCTTTCTTCCTTCTCTACCTGTTTCTTTTCTTGCTTCCTTTGCTCTTTGGTTCCATCCTTCCTTGTCTCTTTCCTTCCTTCCTTCCTTCCTTCCTTCCTTCCTTCCTTCCTTCCTTCCTTCCTTCCTTCCCTCTTTCTTTCGTCCCTTCTCTCCTTCCTTCCCTTTCACTTTTTTATTTCCTTCTCTACCCTTCTTTCTTTCCTTCCTTCTCTCCTTCCCTCCTTCTTTCTCTTCTCTCCCTCTTTCTCTCCCTCCTTCTCTACTTCGTTCTCTATCCTCCTTCTCTCCCTCATTCTCGCCCTCCTTCTTCCCCCTTTCTGTGCATGTGTTTTGTGTGTATATATATGTGTGTTTGCCTATATATGTAGTTTTGTGCATGCGTTGTAATGTAAACTTTGGGTTTTTGGCTTTTAAAATCCCTCCTGCTGTGTTTTTCAGTGTTATTATGAGTGATGGTCACTCTTTGGCCTGAGATGTGTCTTGTGTCCAAATTTGGTCTCAATTCATCCAGTGGTTTTTGAGTTACGTTAATCCCACAAACGAACATTACATTTTTATTTATATCGATTGAGTATAAGGGATGCAGAGTTCAAAACATCCAAGAGCAAAACCATCATCCAGGACTTTTCATGTGTGCTGCAACTTGTTGCTTTCCTTTTCTGTCCATCCCCAGGTCTCAGACCCCAAGCAGAAGCTTTCTTCCTGTATGTTTTGTCACTTAGCCTGACCAATCTTGCAGCAGTGAGCATGGCTTTCTTGGTGAGCTCCAGCGTCAACACTTTCGCCGTTGCCAACCTCTTGATTGCCCTGCCGTATGTCTTCATGATGGCAAGTTGTTTCTTCTTTTTCAAAACTTCAAAGCTGTCCTGTAGGCAAAAGGCTCTGTTTGGATACCCAGGCCCTCCATGGCAAGCTGTAGATCTCTGTGTCCGCAGGGTGGTGAACCTGGTCCAAATTTTAGTCAGAACCAGTATGAACTGGTTTGATCTTCTTGTGGTCCAAGGCACTCTCAGAACTTTCCTCCAGCACCACAGTTCAAAAGCATCTATCTTCCTTCGCTCAGCCTTCCCTAAGGTCCAGCTCTCACATCTGTAGGTGACTACAGGGAATACCATTGCTTTAACTATGCGAATCTTCATTGCCAGTGTGATGTCTCCACTCTTCACTATTTTATTGAGATTGGACATTGCTCTCCTCCCAAGAAGTAAACATCTTCTGATTTCCTGGCAGCCGTCTGTGTCTGCAGTAATCTTTGCACCTAGAAATACAAAGTTTGTCACTGCCTCCATGTTTCCTCCCTCTATTTTCCAGTTATAAATCAGTCTGGTTGCCATAATCTTGTTTTTTATTTTTGATTGCATCCCAGCTTTTGCACTTTCTTCTAAGGCTCCTCAGCTTCTCCTCACTTTCAGCCATCAAAGTGGTATCATCTGCATATCTAAGTTTGTTAAAAAAAGTTACCTACTCTCATGCTAATGGAGGGGTCCCACTCAAACATTAGCAAATTAATGTATTGTCCAAGGCTTTCATGGCTAGAATCACTGGGTTGTTGTAGGTTTTTCGGGCTATATGGCCATGTTCTAGAAGCATTCTCTCCTGATGTTTCACCTGCATCTATGGCAAGCATCCTCAGAGGTGCAATAAGCTTGCTAATTGCACCCTTCACACTTGGTTAACAGACATTGGTTCTTTCTCCCAACCTGGACATTTCACAGGTATATATACTTCACTTGCGGTACCACCATCAGATCCTCTGAAGATGCCAGCCACAGATGTAGGCAAAACATCAGGAGAAAATGCTGCTAGAACACAACCAAACAACACCCCAATCATCATCTTTATTTTTATCCCACCTTTCTCCAAATAGGGACTCAAGGCAACTGCCAGTGACCAAAAGAATACAATAGAAGTTAAAAACAAGGCCTGTACATATAAATATAGACATCTTAAAAATTAAATATTTGTGTCAAGAGTTATAGTACAATTTAAATAAAATAAAATAGCTAGGCTCCCCCCCCCCCCCCCCCAAGAAAAATCCCACTCACAGCATCCCTAGCAGGATACAAAATCCAAAGATTCTACCAACAGGTTGTATGCAGAGCTTGGAAGGATTACTTTTATTTGAATACAAATTCTAAAATCCTGACAGAATGGAAGATTCAAGAGACCAAAGGTTTTTTTTTTCAAAAATCACTATTCCAAACTCTGGCCAGATTAGTTTTAGGCGGGGTTAGTTGGGTTTGGTGGAAGTAGAAATCCTGACCTATAGTACAATCCCCGTATCCTCAAGAAATATATTCCTGGAGATATGTGAAAGCATATCCCTAGTAGCAACAGTAAGAATGGAACAATAGACTAGTTCAAGATTGGGAAAGGCGTACGGCAGGGTTGTATACTCTCGCTCAACCTATTCAACTTGTATGCAGAACACATCATGCGATGTGCGGAGCTTGATGAATGCAAGGCTGGGTTAAAATTGCTGGAAGAAACATTAACAACCTTGATATGCAGATGACACCACTTTGATGGACGAAAGCGAGGAGTAGTTGAGGAGCCTTATAACTAAGGTGAAAGAAGAAAGTGCAAAAGCTGGGTTGCAGTTAAACATTAAAAAAAAAACAAGATTATGGCAACCGGACTGATTGATAACTGGCAAATAGAGGGATCATAGAATCACAGAGTTGGAAGAGACCTCATGGGCCATCCAGTCCAATCCCCTGCCAAGAAGCAGGAATATTGCATTTAAATCACCCCTGACAGATGGCCATCCAGCCTCTGTTTAAAAGCTTCCAAAGAAGGAGCCTCCACCACACTCCGGGGCAGAGAGTTCCACTGCTGAACGGCTCTCACAGGCAGGAAGTTCTTCCTTATGTTCAGATGGAATCTCCTTTCTTGTAGTTTGAACATGTGGAGGCAGTGACAGACTGAGCAAAGGAAAATAGATCCTTTTGAACTGTGGTATTGGAGGAAAGTTCTGAGAGTGCCTTGGACTGCAAGAAGATCCAACCAGTCCATACTTCAGGAAATAAAGCCCAACTACTCATTGGAGGGAAGGATATTAGAGGCAAAGATGAAATACTTTGGCCACATCATGAGAAGACAGGAAAACGTAGAGAAGGCAATGATAGGAAAATGGAAGGAAAAAGAAAGAGGGGCCGACCAAGGTCAAGATGGATGGATGATATCCTTGAAGTTACTGGCTTGACTCTGAAGGAGCTGGAGGCGGTGATGGTTGACAGGGAGCTCTGGCGTGGGCTGGTCCATGAGGTCACAAAGAGTCGAAAGCAACTGAATGAATAAACAACAACAACAATGTGAAAGCATGGGTAATACCAAGCCCTATTTGAAATAAAGTACTTCTGGCAGAATAATAACCCAGAGTGACATTGGAGGGCCTGAAAAATGCCTACAGAGAATATATTTTGTCAAACCTGGACAAATTAAATTGTGGATATCGGCTCTGTGTGTTTGAAAGTATAAATAAATTGGAGGGCACCAGGTTGTGGGGAAAGCCCATTAGAAAGAAATAATCTGCCTTGGGATAACTTTTTCCTTCCAACTCAAAATACAAGGGGTAAGTAAGGTCCGTTTGAACATAAGTACACAACGAAAGTTTATTTCAAAAAAGAAAATTTATTTTCAGAAAGTACATACTTCACTCTATTTTTCGACATAGTTGCCAAGTTTGTTCAAACACTTATCATACCTCTGAACCAATTTTAAAATACCCTCTTCATAAAAACTTGCCGCCTGCTCCGATAACCAAGAGTTCACTGCCGTTTTCACGTCGTCGAAGGGTGACCGGAGCGGTCCTCATCATGGACGTTGTCATGGCCGTCTTTGAATTGTCATACCCACTTACGCACTTTGCTTTCACTCATAACAGTATCTCCGTACACTTCATAAATCTGTCGATGAATTTCTGCAGCAGGCAGGTTCCTTCCTGACAATAACTTCACATGCAGTGGGTGAGTTGATAGTTTAAACATTTTTAAAGCACAGAACAGAACCGTACAGGTTAGCTACAGAGCGGAAACTGAGCACAGTTGTTCCCGAGGCATGGCGGTACACGACGCACGCGCTCGTTGCGGTATGCGCGCGAACTACTAGTGTCTACAACAAAACGGACCTTACTTAAAAAATACCCCTCGTATGTTCTCATGTTTTGAGAACATTCTTTGTTTATAGTTTTTTGGGAACAGGGCTGCTCATCCCTTGAAAGTCATCCTTTATCATTCAAAGTGCCTGATAGTCTTTCAATGTAATTCAAAACTTTGCTATGGCTTTTAACTGTTTGTTTGTTTGTTTGTTTGTTTGTTTGTTTGTTTTGAAACAATGTCGAATCCTGCAGGTCTTTGGTGGATTTCTTGTGAACCTCAATACCATGCTGGACTGGTTGTCCTGGATCAAATGGATCAGCATTTACAGATATGGCATGAACGTGAGTCATCATAGCTTCTCTCTGGGGGGAAGGCTGAGATGTAGTAAACCTCAAGTAAGACACCATATTACAATACCCTTTTTTTGCCATATTAGCATTCAAGGGTGAATATAGAGTAGGGGTCCTCAAACTAAGGCCCAGGGGCCGGATACGGCCCTCCAAGGTCATTTGCCCGGCCCTCGCTCTGGGTCAACCTAAGTCTGAAACGACTTGAAAACACAACAACAACAATCCTATCTCATCAACCAAAAGCCGGCCCACACTTCCCATTGAAATACTAATAAGTTTAAATGTGTTAAGTTAAAATTGTTCTTCATTTTAATTATTATATTGTTTAAAGTGTTTTTTGCACTACAAATAAGATATGTGAAGTGTGAATATAAATTAATTCTTTTTTTTTCTAATTATAATCCGGCCCTCCAACAATTTGATGGACTGTGACCTGGCCCTCTGTTTAAAAAGGTTGAGGGCCCCTGATATAGAGGGTACCTTCCTGCTATGTGTTGTCCCAACTTACGCAATGGCTATTCTTTCTACAAAAGGTTTAAGAACATATTATGTTAGCATGTGCAATGCCTTTACATTGCACTATTTAGTCCACTTCTTAATTGAAGTTCCATTTCCTGCCTCCTTTTTCCTCTGGTCTATACAACCCCATCCATTTAGCATGAGCTGCATACTCCTTTATTTTCAGCTATAGGAAGCATCTACCGGCAAAAGCAGGGATTGGAATATGCTTCCCATCGTCACTTGTTCAAGCCAAATACCTTGTAAAACTACAGCTCCCATGCTTCCATAGTACTGAGCCACAGGATTAAAAGTCTTGCTATTGTTAATAAGTTTGTTATCACATCTTTTTTCAATTGTTTATTATTATATAATGATATTAAAGCTATACTAGGACTTCTTTCTATTTTAATATTCATTATATATATTTTATTATTTATTTATTTATTTATTTATTTATTTATTTATTTATTTATTTACTGCATTTATATACTACCCCTCTCAGCCCAAGGGCGACTCGGAGCGGTTAACAATAGGCAACAATTCGATGCCAGAACAGTTACCACAAAATAAAACAATCATTAATACTTTAAAATACTAACAGCACTATAAAAATGTAAAAATCATATACAGCATTCAAAAACATTATCAAAACATCTCCATCTCAAATCATTGTCCAGTTGCGTCGTCAGTTGTCCATAATATATATTTATGTCATATTTAGGAAGGCCTGTTCAAAAAGCCAGGTTTTCACCATTCTTCGGAAGGACAGGAGGAAGGGGACTGATTTTATCCCTCTAGGCAGGGCGTTCCACAGTTGAGGGGCCACCACTGAGAAGGCCCTGTCTCTCGTCCCCGCCAGACACATCTGTGAGGAAGGCGGGAGCGAGAGCGGTTCCTCCCCAGAAGATCTTAGTGTTTTAGATGGTTATATCCTCTATTTCTCTAAATACTTTCCCCCAAAAATTATTTACATATTTACATTGCCATCAATGTAAAAAAGTGGTGTCAAACTATGTAAAAGTGGCGTCAAACTACATTAATTCTGCAGGTTTTTTTGTTGGTTTTTTTTGTCGTGTCAGAAGTCGCTTCTGGTGTGAGAGAATTGGCCGTCTGCAAGGACGTTGCCCAGGGGACGCCCGGATGATTTTGATGTTTTTATCATCCTTGTGGGAGGCTTCTCTCATGTCCCTGCATGAGGAGCTGGAGCTGATAGAGGGAGCTCATCCGCCCCTCCCCGGATTCGAACATGCAACCTGTCGGTCTTCAGTCCTGCCGGCACAGGGGTTTAACCCACTGCGGCACCGGGGGCTCCAATTCTGCAGTGCAGATACACCCTTAGATCCTTGATTCTCAATGTTTCAGGTTCTGCTAGTAATTCTCCATGTGCCTGGATATCCCAAAAGAAACATTATACATCTAGTACAAGGTAGTTCCTTATATTTGGAGATGTGTGTGGGAGCATTGCCAGTACTGAAAAAAGACAAGAATTTCAGTCCCCTTCTACGCTGCCATATAAAATTCAGATTATCTGTTTTTAGCTGGATTGTATGGCAGTGTAGACTCCTATAATCCAGTTCAAAGCAGATAATGTGGATTGTCTACTTTGAGAATCTGGATTATATGGCAGTGTAAAAGGGGACTCAGTGAGCAACATCTCAATAGCATCTATGGCTTATATTTTTAATTCTTCTATGTTGAAAGAGTTTCAAAAATGTGGTTGAAGTACTAATTAAAAAGCAAAGGTGCAAATTAAGTATTTTGTATACATAATGCTCAGGGAATTTTATTTGCAAAGGGAAATTTGTGGAAAGTGGTGCCATATTAAATTGGGAACATGTCTGGCAATAGAATATTTTGAAAGGAGAATGTACAAAGGTTTGGGAAAAAGAAGCTATTTGCAACCCTATCATCTGCTCCTGGCGAGTCAGCTGCATTAAGATCACTACTGACCAAAAGGTTATGAGTTCGAAGCCAACCCAGGTTGGAGTGAGCTTCCAGCCAATTGTGTAGCTTGTTGTCGTCCTTTACAGCCGGAAAGACTGTCAAGCATTTGTCAAGTAGGAAAATTAAGTACTACTTATATTAATTTAACTAATTTAACTAATTTACGAGGCCATAAAAATCTCCAACAAGCATGCAGGGAATGAGGAAATACTTCATCAGTGTTGCAAATGGACAGTGAAGCGACAGCTCCCCTGGTGGCCAGAAAAAGTTGGCATGTCTATGGCATTGAATGTTTGCCATGTATATGTACATTGTATTCCGCCCTGAGTCCCCTGCGGGATGAGAAGGGCGGAATATAAATACTGCAAATAAATAAATGAATAACTTTGAGACATCATTTTTGGAGCAAAATATTTCCTCTTTTCTCATTGGTAGAACGGCGCTCCATGCAGTCATGCCGGCCACATGACCTTGGAGGTGTCTACGGACAACGCTGGCTCTTTGGCTTAGAAATGGAGATGAGCACCACATCCCAGAGTCAGACATGACTGGACTTAATGTCAGGGGACTACCTTTACCTTTTACATTGGTAGAAAAAAGAAGATTAAGATTCAAGAAAAGTGTTACAATTTGGAAAAGTTAATCCTTTAAAATAAAATATTTTCCCCATCTTTATAGGGGAAAAGATAGATTCCTTAAATTATTGGAATTTATAAAAATCATGTTTCTATTTCAGGCTCTAGCTATCAATGAACTCAAAGGACTAGTCTTCTACTTGAACTCTACCAGGTAAATATACTTCCTCTCATAAAGAGATGCCCACATCGCAAAGAAAAAGAAACAAGGGCTCCAATGATACATTGTTATATTTATTTATTTATAAATAAATATAAATAAAATTATATTCACTTATTATATTTAATATATATATATATATATATATATATATATATTATATATATTATATTATTCTACTAGCTGTCCCCTGCCACGCGTTGCTGTGGCCCAGTCTGGTGATCTGGAAAATAAAGTAATGAGAAAGTGTTGGTTTCTAATATATGTAATTCCTTTATGCTTGTGAGTAAACAGTATTTCTTGTTGTTTCTTTGTCAGTGTTGATGTGGAGAGTGTCTGGTTTGCCTACTCTAGAATATGCAACATATCATAGTCCTTCTTTAAGGGTCTCTTTCAAATCTGTGATACTATATCTGTGTGTGTGAGAGAGAGAATCATATCTATCTATCTATCTAATTTATGACTGGATGGCTCTTTGTCAGGAGGGCTCTGATTACATTTTTTTGCCCTGGTGAAGAGAGTTGGACTGGATGGCCTTAAGTATTTTCTGTTGGTCATGGGGGTTCTGTGTGGGAAGTTTGCCCCATTCTGTCGTTTGTGGGGTTCAGAATGCTCTTTGATTGTAGGTGAACTATAAATCCCAGTAACTACAACTCCCAAATGTAAAGGTCTATTTCCCCCAAACTCCATCTGTGTTCATATTTGGGCATATGGAATATTTGTGCCAAGTTTGGTCCAGATCCATCATTGTTTGAGTCCACAGTGCTCTCTGGATGTAGGTGAACTACAACTCCCAAACTCAAGGTCAATGCCCACCAAACCCTTCCAGTGTGTCCTGTTGGTCATGGAAGTCCTGTATGCCATGTTTGGTTCAATTCCATCATTGGTGGAGTTCAGAATGCTCTTTGATTGTAGGTGAACTATAAATCCCAGCAACTACAACTCCCAAATGTCAAGGTCTATTTCCCTTAAACTCCATCTGTGTTCATATTTGGGCATATGGAATATTCGTGCCAAGTTTGGTCCAGATCCATCATTGTTTGAGTCCACCGTGCTTTCTGCAGCAGGCAGGTTCCTTGCTGACAAAAACCGTATCACTAAGCGAACCTCACATGCGGCGGGTGAGTTGATAGTCTTAAACATTTTTAAAGCACAGAACAGAACCGTACAGGTTAGCTACAGAGTGGAAACTGAGCACAGTTGTTCCCGAGGCATGCCGGTACACGACGCACGCACTCGTTGTGGTGTGCGTGCGAACTACTACTGTCTACAACAAAACGGACCTTACTTAAAAAATACCCCTCGTATATTAGAAACCAACGCTTTCACATTACTTTACTTTCCAGATCACCAGACTGGGCCACAGCAACACGTGGCAGGAGAGGGCTAGTCTATATAAATAAAAATATGTTTGTTTGTGGGATTAACATAACTCAAAAACCACTGGACGAATGGACACCAAATTTGGACACAATACACCTATCAGGCCAACAAGTGACCATCACTCATAAAAACATGGAAAAACACAGCAGAAGCCAAAAAATAAAATAAAAAAAACATTACATTACAACATATACGCATAACCACATAAATACACATATATTTATTTATTTTATTTATTTATTTAACTTGTATACCTCTACTCCCAATTTGGCTTGGAGCGGTTTACAGAAGCAGATTTTAAAAAGTACAATTAGCTTTTAAAATAACAATAGCAAAATATACACAAATATATACACACACATATTCACACACACACACAACACATACACAGACTGGGCCACAGCAATGCGTGACAGGGGATGGCTAGTTAATAAATAGGTGGGCTCCTTACTGGAATACTTGTTTTGTTGTGTGGGATCAACCTTTTCGACGCTTTTATCTCCCGTGCTTTTTAATATCTACATGAAACCACTGGGAGAGGTCATCCGGAGTTCTGGAGTTAGGTGCCATCTCTATGCAGATGACACACAACTCTACTACTCATTTCCACCTAACTCCAAGGAAGCCCCTCGAGTGCTGGACGAGTGCTTGGCCGCTGTGGCTGTCTGGATGAGGAGGAACAAGCTGAAGATCAATCCCGACAAGACAGAGGTCCTCCTGGTCGATCGAAAACCGGATCGGGGTATAGGGTGGCAACCTGTGCTGGACGGGGTTACACTCCCCCTGAAGTCACAGGTCCGCAGTCTGGGAGTCCTCCTGGATTCATCACTTACTTGAGGCTCAGGCGTCGGCGGTGTCCGGGAGGGCTTTTGCACAATTGAGACTCGTGCGCCAACTGCGACCTTACCTCGTAAAGGCTGATCTGGCCGGGGTGGTCCATGCCTTGGTCACCTCTAGATTGGACTACTGTAATGTGCTCTACGTGGGGCTGCCCTTGAAAACGGCTCGGAAATTTCAGCTAGTCCAACGGGCGGCGGCCAGGATGTTAACTGGTGCTCCTTACAGAGAGAGGTCAACCCTCCTGTTCAAGGAGCTCCATTGGCTGCCGTTCATTTTCCGGTCCCAATTCAAGGTGCAGGTGGTCACCTACAAAGCCCTAAACGGTTTGGGACCTGCCTACCTGCGTGACCGCATCTCCGCTTACAAACCTGCATGCTCCCTCCGATCATCTGGAAAGGCCCTGCTCTCGATCCCACCTGCGTCGCAGGCACGTTTGGTAGGGACAAGGGACAGGGCCTTTTCTGTGGTAGCCCCCCGACTCTGGAACTCTCTCCCCAAGGACATCAGAGAAGTCCCAACATTGGCTGTCTTTAGGAAGAGCCTGAAGACCTGGCTGTTCAAGTGTGCCTTTCCAGAATAGGAAACTCCTGGCTTCAAGTCCCAAATACACCTTGCTAGAGATTCAGGATCATCTGCACATTGCACCTACCTCCAAATACCTCTACATATTACCTGTCAAGTTCAGCACTTTTTAAATTTTGTCCATTACATTAGGCCCAGCCTTGGTTTTAATTGCGTCACGGTGTCATTGTTTTACTCTTTTATTGTTTTGCTTGATGTTTTATTATTTGCTTATGAGTTTATTGTGTATTGTATATTGTGTTGTCGCTGGCCTTGGCCTTTGTAAGCCGCATCGAGTCCTTCGGGAGATTTTGCGGGGTATAAATAAAGATAATAATAATAATAATAATAATAATAATAATAATAATAATAATAGAGATGAGAAGAAGCTCAACATCTCAATGGGTGAAATTGTTGCAACTACCAAGTCTTCCTTAAGAAGTGCACACATGTCTTCAACTCTTTTCTTTTCTTCTTTCAGGGTCCCTGGAGAGGAATACCTGATTCAGCAAGACATTGACTATAGCACGTGGGGTTTCTGGGAGAACCAGCTTGCCCTCTTCTGTTTGGCAACTGTATTCCTCTTCTTTTCTTACATCCAACTATTAAGAATAAACCGTTGGAAGTAGACCATCATGGCGAGAAAACTTGCAGGCATACAATGCTCTGCTGCAATCTTCTTGTCTACCATCTGAATAAAATTAGGATATATTAGCCTAAATCCAATTGTTAGTACCAAAATAGAGCAGACCCATGGGATTTACATAAGTATGCACTTACCAACAGTCGGTTGATTCAGTGATGTTCTAGCTGCAACTAGGAAGTTAATTCTGGCTATTTGTTTCAGGTCATCTACCATGTTAATATTTAATTTTTAGGAGAATATAGGTTTGTTTTGGGGGGGGGGTTGGTCGTGTCAGGAGCAACTTGAGAAACTGCAAGTCGCTTCTGGAGTGAGAGAATTGGCCGACTGGAAGGACGTTGCCCAGAGGGCGCCCTGATGTTGTGATGTTTTAACAACAAGGACTCCAAGATCTTTTTCACACGTACTGCTCTCAAGCCAGGCGTCCCCCATTATGCAAAGATACAGAATGGGGTACAATGCCTGGCTTGAGAGCAGTACGTGTGAAAAAGATCTTAGAGTCCTCGTGGACAACAAGTTAAACATGAGCCAACAATGTGATGTGGCGGCAAAAAAAGCCAATGGGATTTTGGCCTGCATCAATAGGAGCATAGTGTCTAGATCTAGGGAAGTCATGCTACCCCTCTATTCTGCTTTGGTGAGACCACACCTGGAATATTGTGTCCAATTCTGGGCACCACAATTCAAGAGAGATATTGACAAGCTGGAATGTGTCCAGAGGAGGGCGACTAAAATGATCAAGGGTCTGGAGAACAAGCCCTATGAGGAGCGGCTTAAGGAGCTGGGCATGTTTAGCCTGAAGAAGAGAAGGCTGAGAGGAGATATGAGCCATGTATAAATATGTGAGAGGAAGTCACAGGGAGGAGGGAGCAAGCTTGTTTTCTGCTTCCTTGGAGACTAGGACGCGGAACAATGGCTTCAAACTACAAGAGAGGAGATTCCATCTTAACATGAGGAAGAACTTCCTGACTGTGAGAGCCGTTCAGCAGTGGAACTCTCTGCCCCGGAGTGTGGCGGAGGCTTCTTCTTTGGAAGCTTTTAAACAGAGGCTGGATGGCCATCTGTCAGGAGTGATTTGAATGCAATATTCCTGCTTCTTGGCAGGGGATTGGACTGGATGACCCATGGGGTCTCTTCCAACTCTGATTCTATGATTATATAATTGTCAAACCACAAATCCCACAATGTTGTCCAATGAACCTTGTGGGAGGCTTCTCTCATGTCCCCGCATGAGGAGCTGGAGCTGATAGAGGGAGCTTTTCCACACTCTCCCCAGATTTGAACCTGCAACCTGTCGGTCTTCAGTCCTGCCAGCACAGGGGTTTAACCCACTGTGCCACCGGGGGCTTCTGGAGAATATAGGTGGAAAAGTTAAAATACTCACAGTTCACTCCCATTGACATTGAGATTAAAAGACATTGTTTTTTCCCCACTTTTAAACTGCGGACAATACAATCATGCACAGCTCTTCCCATTGATACATTCACCTGAGTTAAATGGAGTTTGCAGCCGACATGCTTAAAGACAGGGATCAACATTCTGTTGACATTAGTTAATACTACACATTCATAAAAATGGTAATTCAAGGGGAGGAAATCAAATCAGACTGCTTCTGCGTCCATTTTATTTTTGCAGTTATTTCATAATGGTGCCCTGCCAGTTCATGACTTTTGTATGGAATCTATTAGCAGGTTAAATACCCTAAAGGGACCTGATCCTGTCTGATCTTGGAAGCTAAGCAAGGTCAGCTCTGATTAATACTTGGATGGGTGACCACCAACCAATACCGGGTGCTGTAAGCTATATTACAGAGGAAAGAGTGGGCAAAACCACTTGTTGAGTACTGTATTCCTTGCTTAGGAAAACTATGACATTCAAGGTGTCACCATAAGTCATCAGGCACCGTGAAGGCACATACATACACAGGGACATGTCTGCAACAATAGTTTTTGATACCTTGTTCTATCTCTTTGTTCATCTTGTAAGATGTTGGTTTTTATTAAGCACTTGCAAGACCTCACTACCTCTGAGGATGCTTGCCATAGATGCAGGCGAAACGTCAGGAGGGAATGCCTCTAGACCATGGCCATATAGCCCGAAAAAACCTACAACAACCCAGTGATTCCGGCCATGAAAGCCTTTGACAATACTTGCAATACTTATGGCAGCTCAGGACTTTTTGCACACTTTTTGTGATTGCATCAATTTGTGTGAATGGGCCAACATCAGATAGTCCGTCTGCATCACAAGATTGCAGATGGAACTTTGTGTCATGCAAAATGCTTCTCAGGTCTATTCACACGTTCCATTTGCATTTACTATGAGGAAATCATAGGGAAGAGGGAGCAAACTTGTTTTCCGCTTCCCTGGAGAGTAGGACGTGGAACAGTGGCTTCAAACCACAAGAAAGGAGATTCCATCTGAACATGAGGAAGAACTTCCTGACTGTGAGAGCTGTTCAGCAGTGGAACTCTCTGCCCCGGAGTGTGGTAGAGGCTCCTTGTTTGGAAGCTTTTAAACAGAGGCTGGGTGGCTATCTGTCGGGGGTGCTTTGAATGCAATTTTCCTGCTTCTTAGCAGGGGGTTGGACTGGATGGCCCATGAGGTCTCTTCCAACTCTATGATTCTACTAAGTGTACACTAATCAGAAATTCAAAACGTAAGTGTCTTATGTACATATTTAAATCAAACCGGTCAAATGTGTCAAATCTAGGTAGGTCTTAACTACAGATTAGGACAGATGGAGGTGAACAAACTGACAAAAAGGGGCACTCTGACCAAGGAAAGCATCCATTCTGAGTGGAGGCTTGTAGACATTCCTCTGCAAGACTCTGAAGGACCAAGGACATAGGGAGTACTCCTGGACATCATGTTTACTGTGGGACTGAAGTGACCGTTGTCCAGGAGTTGTTGTAGTTGTTTATTCCAATATACCAGACGTGGTGCTATATAGATGTATCTTGATTTCCTTACCTATGTTTTGGTGATACTCTGGCTAGACGGCTGCAAGGTGCTTTAAGGATTGCCTTTAAAGATAGTTCAGAAATGTTCACTAGAGCAAAATGCAATTACACAAATACTGGTGATAGGAATTCTTGCCATGTGACAGCTACATAATTCCAGTTGTCCTGGTTGCCAGTCTATTTCCAGGCACAATGTAAAATGCTGGCATTAATTGATGTTCAAAGCTATGGGCAGTTTGGGACCAAGTTACAGAAAGGATTGCCTTCCCGCATACCCAACATGCCTACATTTTGAGATCAGCATTAGAGGCCTGATTCGTCTGTCCAGAAGTCGAAACAATAAGATTGGTGACACAAGGCCTTCTCTGTGGCAGCCCTCTGCTTGTGAAACTGTCCTGGTGAATATATGCCGGGTCACATTCATACAGATCTACAAGTAGGTATTAATGCTCACCTGTTTACACTGGCCTATAATGGAGTTTGGGTTCTAGTAAGACTGTTGCAATTATGGTGCTATTTGGTTTCACCAGTTAATTTTGATTTTATTGTTTGTCTTCAGTTTTACATTTTGTTATACTCTGCCTTGGGAGGATTTTATACAGTGGCTGATGTATCTTTACAAGAAATAAATAAGGTAACAGTCTTTTGGCTTTGTCAGATAATTACACAATTATTCCTCGTCTCCTGATGTCGGAATCACAGACGCCTTAAAGGGCCAGACTCAGAGTTAGTTCCAAAGCACAGTTTATTGAAGCAAAGGGACACAGAGACACTTAAACTCTGCCTCTGGTCAAAATTCAAATATAAAACCAGTCCTGGTTCAAAAGGCAAACAGAAGTATAATCCAGATTAACCAAAGAACCGAATCAACCACAGTACTCCGAAGTCACACAAAGAAGGCACAGCATGTAAATGGTACACAAAGCAGAGAAGCCGCAGGGAGAGAAGCGTAGTCAAGTGAAGTCCAGGGTCGTAGCAAGAGAAATCCGAAGTAGCGAAGTTCCAAAGTCCATGGAAGCAGCGTCGTACTCAAGCCGGTCCAAGGTCAAGGAAGGGAGAAATCCACACTCACGAGAATCCAATCCAAGTCAAAAGCACACACGAACAGGAACAGCAACCTGCAGATCCCAAACCCAATGCCGAACACGAAACAGGCAGCGACAAGTCCAGACAGTACCCAATGCACGAACGTATACCAACACCTTGCCTTCTGCAAAGATCCCTCATTCCTGAACCCACTTTTATTACACATCATCATCATCAGATTAACTGACCACTGCCCCATGATTATCCATTGCAGCTGCTCCCAACTCTTCACATGAAGTCCTACACCCTTCTCTCCATCTTTTCCATCTCCTGTCAAGACTTAGATCCCCCCAAGACTCAGTTGGATTCCCAGATTGCCAGTCATCACTCCCATAGAATCCCATAAATTTATCACTAAATGTTGGCTCTGCACAAACATCTTACGCTTCCTTTACCTTAGTCCAATCCACGGTGTCATCCCCGTTTTCCCCACTCTGTGACCCATCATCCCCAGAGAAACCCTCAAATGATTCCTCATCTGTAGGTGCCGTAAGTATATCCCGGATCCTCTTTCTTTGTTGTTCCTCATCAGACTCCTGCTCTCAAGTAACCCTTTTTCCTCTTCTGGCACTCATACTACTGCTTGCAACGTTACTTACAGGTTCTACTACAACACCTGAGATGGAAAGTAAGGTATTATAAATAATCATCATCTTTATTTATACCCAGCCACCATCTCCCCAGAGGGGACTCGGGGCGGCTTGCATGAGGCCAAACCCAACAGTACATTACAGTAAAATAAAACCATGACAACAATACACACAATACAATTAAATCAATAAAAACATAAGAATGCAATAAAAACAGCACAAACTAATACAATGTAAAATCAATCCCAAGGGCAGGCCACATGTGCAAGTTAAAATGATAAAATTCAGGATGAGATAGAGATGAAAAAGAAGTAGGAGACGGAATAGTGGAGCCAGGCCTTCAAACAAGGATATAAAGTGAAATATGAGAACAATGATAAATAACAATAATATAATGCTAGTGTAGGGAAAGAAGAGAGAACTACCAATCTAAGGTGTTATGTACAGAAAATAAAATAC